GAGTGCTAAATTCTGGAGGGATCAGGTAGGGAGAAAAATACAAAGCGTGATGGACAATCCTTTTCCTTCTGATACCTACTAAGATTGCATCAACATGCCATATACCTTCCATTACTAACTCCACATAATTCCTTTCCAAAACTTTTGCAAACTTTTACAACCTTTTACACACCCTTTTCTGTTTGCACAGCTTTCCACAGACCTTTAGCAACATCTAAAAAACTTTTACATCCTTTCATATACTTCTTTATTTATATATCTTATACTTTCCCTTATTCACTTTCTTATAGAGTATAAAGTTTCAAACTTTTCTGGAATCCTCAATTTCCTTTCTCAGAGTAGATACAGAGCCAAACCCGAAACACAGAGTTCTGAAACAATACACAGGTAGAGGCATTCTCTTGCATCAATGCATCCACTGGTGCTGGCAGAGACATGCTGCTTTGCCTCAGGCTGAAGTATTTATCAGCCCTAAATGACCCTTCCTGGGTCCCGGGTGGCAAAGGCATCCTCTCCAACCGGCTACAGTGACCTTTCCTAGGTCTTCAGGTACACAGGGTTTCTGATCAGAAACAACCAATGGCAGAGAAATTCGCTCTTTTCCCACAAAACCAGAAAACAAGTAGCTGAGGTTTTCTTTACTCTAGGTTTAAAACTTTCATATCCTTTATACATACATACATACATATATATATGTATATATTCATCTAGATTTAATTATTACTCTCTTTAATTTCAGTTCCTTTCCCACACTGGGAAGGACTATACTTAAACTCAGAGCTTAAACTCAGTATGTGGCAGCTAAAAGTCCCTAGCACTTTAGGTATCTTCTAGTAAAAGTCCCTAGATTCGCAGGGACATTTTGCACCTTTCTGAAGCTTAGACATTGTAAATACCCTATAAATCAGGTGGTCACTCTTGGACCTCAGTACTTGACCTTCAAAACCAGAGCCATTACTATTAGAACCACTTACACAGAGAACCTGACTGCTGCAGTGCCCACACAGCCCATAAATTAGAAGAGAAGCCTTATCTAGTTCCAAGATGGCAGTGCCCACGCCCGTGGGGTCATCCAAGATGGTGGCACCCATGCATGAAGGGCTGTCCAAGAAGGCAACACCCATCCATGCTCTGTCCTCCATGGTGGGGCACTCACGTGGCTCATCCATTTTACCCAAAATGGCAGTACTCCGACTCTGGTTCCACCCACCTGGGAAGGTCTCAGGACTCTGGTTTCAGGAGCCCAGGAAGCCCCCAAGGCCCTTTCCACCGCAGGCCTGGGGGCACCACAGAGCTGCCCTCCACCCACTGGGGGTGGTGCACTGAGGCTGCAGTCACCAGTGCAGGTGGAGAGCAGGCTCCGCCCACCTGTGAAGGTGGGGGCTCTGCAGCTCTGTTTTCGGGAGCCAAAGCAGCTCCTGGCAACCCCTGCTGCGGTGGGTGAGCAGAGCCCACTTGCAGAGGCTGTGAATCCGTGGTGGAGACTTCTCCCACTTGCAGGGCGGGAGAAGCCATAGTGGACCTCACCTCCCCAGAAAGCAGCGTCACCACCCAGAGTTCCTGCTGTCTGGGGTCCCCCATTGTCTATTCTGAGGATGGGAGGAGGTCTCCCAAAGACTAACCTATACGGGGTGTAGCCTGAAGGGTTAGGGGCATTCCTGACTCTAAGTAGTGCCAGCGGCAGCAAGTCAGTCTAAGGCAGTCCAGTCTCCTGGTGGAACTTTGTTAGAGTTTCCTTGAGAGTCTGGTTCGTGCGCTCCACTTTTCCCGAGCTCTGGGGTCAGCATGCAGTGTGCCCACCCTGCCCCGACCTGCGCCCCTTCTTCATGGACACCCAGCACCCTGTCTTCATTAGCAGTTCAAACAGCTGGCAAGGGCCCTCTCAACACCAGTCTCAGGTCGATGTGGCTGAAAGGAGGTTATCTACACACCGATAACACTGGGTCAGTCTCCTTCTCGGTAAATGATTTTAGGTCTCTGGCCAGGGCCTCTCCTAGGAGAGTGGGAGAGTTTCTGAAGCCCTGTGGCAGTCTGGTCTGGGTCTAAGCCAGCTAACGTGAGGACTGTAGGCGCTTGTAACCTTGGTCTTTGTCACCTACCATTTGGCTCCTTCTTTTTCCTTTTGGGGCACTCTCTAGTACCCCTTCTCTCTGTAGTAGGTGCACTGGTCTCTCAACCTTAAATGGCCTTTCTTTCCCTTTTCCTGGACATCTGTAGTTGGGGCTGTTAGGGCAGTTGCGCAGCTTCTGGCTGAGGCAAATCCTGGGGTGGACTATTCACTGTGGATGGAACGGACGGGGGTGGTGCGTCTGGGCCTATCGGCGCCGCTGGCGCCACAGGCAGAGGCCTGAGATATGGGGGAGGGAGCTGCGGTAAGTCATCCTCGGGGGCTGTCCCTGATATATGGGATCTTCGGTCCTTGGGCCACTAGGACACGGGTCTGGGGTCAGGAGGCTCCTTTCCCACAGCCCACTTTGGACTTCTCCTTCTGGCCTGCAGTTTATTTTCTCTTCTTAGGCAATCTGGTGGCTCCCTGCTCCCTGGAGGTATCTGGTTTCCTAAAGGACCCACTGCCAGGGCCGCCAGCACAGGTCCAGGAGGTCTTCACAGCTTGCTCCTGGCTCAATCATGGGGCTTGGCTGGGATAGCCCTGCTTGTCTTCCTGGCAACCCCTTTAGCAGGACTAGGTGCAGGGGGCCATGTGGGCCTCAGTCACCTCTTGTCCCTCCAGCGGAGGGGGCGGTCACTGCCTGCTGCCTCACTGCTCTGTTATACTGGGGCATATTTTAGAGAGGTCGACCCCTTTGAGCAGGGTCTCTACTCTGCCACCAGAGACCAGCAGGAGCCAGAATCTTGGTTGCAGATGAGGGTCTTTGCTTTCCCGGGTCTGGCTGAGAGTCTTAGGCTTCTGACTTGCACCCTGACAGCATGTCCTGCACTAATTCCTGCCAGTGGTCTATATAAACATCCTGGCTTGCCTGTTACTATGAGGTGGACTGCCCTAATTATACCTAAGTTCAGTGTTCCTTCAGGGGGCCAGCCTACTCCAAACGTTGGCTACTCAGAGGTGCAAAAGACCTCTAACTGACTGGCATCTATGCTCGGTTCCTGGCCCCGGAATCAGTCAGAGTTTTGCAGCATGCAATCTAACACAGTGGAAGGTCCCCCGCCCCTGGTGATCCTCCCAGAACGACGCAGACAAACAAAGGGAAGAACAAAGGGAAGGGGGTTTCATTTTGCCTGCCTGGCCTGCTCCCTCGAGGGACGAAGTCGGTCTTGGCTAAGGTTGCCCCAGCAGAATTCGGGGTTAGCTGCCAACCATTATGCCGTGTGACCTGACACAAGAACCGCAGCTTGGGGCCCACTCTTGCTCCGTAGGACCAGCCTGTGGAGCCACAAACACAGTCACTCACACTTTCACTCTCAAGCACTCCGAGTTTAAACAATCCCTCCCCGGGTGAGAGCCTGGCAGCCGGACTCTAACCGACCTAATTTCTGATTTGAGAGGTGATCAGTTTCTCTCTGGACGGTCTCAGGTCCGGTCCCCGAGGCACTTACCGATTTGGCGCCTTCTGTCAGGTCGTAGTCCAAAACCCTCGCTTCTTGCCTGGAGTGTGGGCCGGTGGCCGTCGCCCCAACCGGACAAGGTCTGAGAAATCTCAGGGCCCGTGCACCCCCCCCCCCTTCCCCAGTTGGACCTCCAGCTGCCTCCCTGCTTATCCAGTCGGCGGCAAGTCGTCCCGAATTTGTGTAAGGTCACTTCCCAGTCAGGGAACCAAATATTACAAGAGCTTCCTAGACAAGAAAAAACTAAAAGAGTTCATCAAAGGGGATTTATTTGAGAAAAAGAAGATCAAAAAATAAAATGGCAAAAAATATATATCTGTTAACAATTAATTGTTAAAAACAAAGTAGGCAAACAAGAACAGAGACAGAATCATGGATTTGGAGAGTGTTTTGATGGTTGCCAGATAGGAGGGAACTGGGGGGGGGGGGCGGATAGGTGAAGAGGTGAGGGGATTAAGAAGTACAAATAGCCCTGGCTGGTGTGGCTCAGTGGATTGAACACAGGCCTGCGAATCAAATAGCTGCAGTTCGATCCCCAGTCAGGGCACGTGCCTGGGTTGCAGGCCAGTTCCCAGTGGGGGACACATGAGAGTCAACTATACATTAATACTTCTCTCCCTCTCTCCTTCCCTTCCCTTCTAAGGATAAATAAATAAAATCTTTAAAAAAAAAGTACAAATAGCCTGGGTTGTAGGCCAGGTCCCCATTTAGGGGTGTGTGAGAGACAACCACATATTGATGTTTCTCTCCCTCTCTTACTCCCTCCCTTCTTTCTCTACATATAAGTAAATAAAATCTTTTTAAAAAAAGTACAAGCAGGTAGTTACAGAATGGCCATGGGGATGTGAAGTATAGTATAGGAAATGGAGCAGCCAAAGAATTTACACTGTGTGACCCATGGACATGAACAGTGGTGGGGGATTGCCTCAGGGAGTCAGGAAGACGTTTCCTCTTTCATTTCTGATTTATGTCATTTGAGTCTGTTTTTCCCTTTGTCACACTAGCTAAAGGTTTATCAGTTTTGTTGATTTTTTTTAATGAACCAACTTTTTATTTCATTGGTTTTTCTCTTTTTTAATCTCTCTTTCATTGATTTTCAGTCTGTTCTTGATGATTTCTTTCCTTCTGCTTGTTCTCAGTTTAGTTCCCTCTTTTCTCAATGTTTTAAGGTGGGAGGTTGGGCTCTTGACTTGAGATCTCTCTTTACATGTGTGTATATGAGAGGAGCCCTGGACGTATTTTGCTGTATTCTGGGGTATTTTCTCAGTTTACCCCAACACGTGACAGTGTAGCCCTACTGGATACTGGCTGGCACCACTGTGCAAGTGCTTGCGTGCCTTCCTGTCACATATCCAAAGATGATCTGAACTGATGGCGCCAGGCTCCACCCTTATCCTCACATCCCACCTAAACACTAATATTTGTCATTTCAGTCTCTTGCAGGTGACCTCTGATGTCCTAGCAAATGGCATTGTCCACTGTGGTGCTGAAAAGGTACTCCCGAGGCTCCGGCAGCGACTGGGATACCACAGGCTTGGTTCGCGCCCTGCTGGGTGGAGCCTGAGCGGCGGTGATGCCTCCAGGCAGGTGGTACGCTGTCCACCCAGCTCAGGCCCAGGCTTCCAGGGAGCGAGCGCGCCTTCAGGTGATAAAGAAAGAAGAGGAGGATGAAGGCTACACTTCAGTGCAGACTGCTAGGCCCCAGACACTCAACCGCCCTGGTCAGGAGCTGTTCCGCCAGCTTTTCAGGCAGCTTCGCTACCATGAGTCCTCCGGGCCCCTTGAGACGCTGAGCCGGCTGCGGGAGCTCTGCCGCTGGTGGCTGAGGCCGGACGTTCTCTCCAAGGAGCAGATCCTGGAGCTGCTGGTGCTGGAGCAGTTCCTGAGCATCCTGCCTTGCGAGCTCCGGACCTGGGTGCAGCTGCATCACCCCGAGAGTGGCGGAGAGGCTGCGGCCCTGCTGGAGGAACTGCAGAGAGACTCCCACGGGACACCATGGACGGTGAGTGTGGGCAAGTGTGCAGTGCCCAGTGAACTCCGTCTGTCTGCTGAGGGCCAGCTCTTCCGGGGCAGGCTTGGCCTCTGAGCCTTCAGCCTGGAGGAATGCAGGGGAAGCCTTCCCTTCCCATTCCCGTGACACCTGAGCAGCTGAGCACTAGGTCCCAGAGGACGATCGGCTACAGGAGGAGGGCCTGCCAGTATCCATAAATGACGGCACCACATGCCAGGACTCGGTGACTAAGAGTGTGCTGAGTCCATGGCACACACTATCTACTGGGAGTTGATGCTGGCCTTAAAGTGGGGGTGGTGTCTCTTGCTCAGAAGGGGGAGGATTAGAGTCTGGACCTGTGGCTTCTGTGTACATGTGAAGACCTGGAAGAGCAATCTAGTACCACTTTGCTTTTTCCTCAGTAAGCCTTTTGAGGATTTGTTCCATGAGGGATGAGACTTCCTCCCACAGCCTCGGTGTTCTCGCCTACATTGTCGTCCCTTTCAGAGGCTTTTCAGTTTATTGAAAAGAAAATGCAAAGCTGATCTAACAGTGAGAAATTGTTTGGTGTTTGAGCAGCGCCTACCACGCCCTTGGCCGCAGCCTAGGTGCTGTGTACGGAGCCACCAGCCCCAGCAGGAGAGCAGCGGGTGGGTCGCGGGCACCCTGCCGCTCCCTCGTCCACAGGCGAGCTGCTCAGTGCTTCCTGCATCTCATTTATCACTTGTGGTCTTTTTAAAATTGTTATTTCTATAAAATATGTGCAACTCTATGGATATGATTCATGCACAAATAAAAGTTACTTTTAAGATTTCTGAAACATACTTCCCTGCACATTTAATATAGAATTAAGTCAATCAACATCTGAACATGGCCTACCAGCTGTAAGTGGTAATAAATCAATATGAGGTGTGACTCTTGAAAAGAAAACCTCTTTGTTCATTGTTGGGTACTATTTATAAAAATCTAAAAGAGCAGTTACTATAATTTTTACATCACCATTGTGGCTTGGTGGTCATCAACTCATTTAGACCTAGATGTGAGGGTTTAAAATCCATGGCAACACCACACGAGCAGGACGGCCTAGGTGAAAGCCAGAAATGAGAGACCGGAAACCGGGCCGGGGGAAAGCCTCTCGGAACTGAAGTGCTCACGACGCACGTGAGGTTACGCAGTCACCCCGCGGTTCCTCCGAAGGACCAGAACGGGAGAGACCGGCGTCTGGGAAGGCTGGGCCTCATACCCGCCTGGCTGTGCTTCCGTGGTTGCTGCGTCTCCCTCTCCTCCCTTCGGCAGGTTTGGGAGGGACAGTGGCAGTTGGCCGTTGTTAGTCCGTAGCTTGGTGGCAGGTGCCTCACGGCCTCAGCCCGCGTCAGCGCCCGTGTGAGTGGGGATGTGGTGGCCCCAGGTCCGGGAAGCAGAGGTTCGTTGGCTGGAGTTGCCTGGGCTCATTTTTATACCGGGGTCGCCTTGTCTCGGACAGCAGCACTGTGTGAAGGCCCAGAGCCACGGTGCCTCCTTCGCCTTGGGGGGCACTGCCATTTTTTTTTTTTTGCAGCTGAGGCGTTTTCTTCCGTGGTCCGTGGCTGACCCTCTCTGCGCCGTGGCTTTGCCTCTCTGGTAGCATTACTGTTCCACTCAGACTGCTCTGGTCGGCTTGCGGCCTGGGAGCTGTGCTGCCTCTTTGGAGCCGCTTTGCGTGTGAGGGCGTAGAGCTTGGTAGACATTGTCTATCTGTATCTCTGCATAACTCTCAGGAGTGAATGTCTTTCATTTCTGAGTTCCGGGCCAGGGGTGGGGGCGGAGGGCTAGTGGAGCGGGTGTCACCGAGGCACCCGAGGCCTGACCACTTGCCAGGTACTTTCTGATGTCCAGCTGGACTCTGGCGGCACTGGTCACCCCGATGGCCCACACTGGAGCCCAGGGAGGCTGAGAGATCTGGGGTCCTTCCTGGGCTTCCCTCTCCTCCTCCCTGTAGCTAATGATAAAAGGCCTGGTTCTGAGTTGCGTTCTAATTCCCAAGGGATCCTCTCGCATTTTCTTCTCGCCAGGACCCAGCCCCTGCCCATAGCCCGGATGTGCACTGGATGGGCACAGGAGCCCTGCGCGCCGAGCAGTCATGGCCCTCCACACCGCCTCTCAGGAGCAGCTCCACTCTGGGGGACTGCCTGGAGCCTCCCTCTGAAACAGGAGTGCGTGACTTCCTGGCTGGGCAACCCGGTACTCACTGCCTGGCTCTGAGACCCCAGCCTTGTCCCAACTTCCCAGACTCCTGTGGTGCCCTCATTGCACTGTCTGTCCTCTCCCAAGACCCCCCTGCCCTTCCTTGCCCTTAGCTCTGTGTTTTTCCCTTCTCTTCTGTGACCCGTGTCCGCCCGGCCCCTCCTCCCGTTGTGCCCCCACGCCTCACTCTTCGGCCCCCAGCAAACACTGGGGAAATGTGAACTGGGCGTTTATTGCAGGCCACGCCTGCTCGTGGGTGCAGGAAGGCTCTTGGGGGGCAGAGGGGTTTTGCAGTGGGGGGCCAAGCACTGGCTGCCCTCTCTCATGGTTCTTTCTTCTTCAGATCCTCCAGCTGCCCAGGTGCCTGCCCTTTCCCAGGGAGAGGGGTGCCCAGAAGACAGGGGGGCAGCCCAGCCTCAGGTGAGCCACCGGACCTGCAGTCCTTCTTCACACCCCACTGTGGCTGCCTGATGGAGCCGCCGTGGCGCCCCGGGTCCTGTGTCTGTCCAGTGGCCTCACGCCCGGAGACCAGGCTGTCCCCCGTGGGCCCGGTGCTCTTCTGTGTGATGGTCTTCCCTGTCACCCGTGCCAGATCCCTCCCGGCCCCTCCGAGTGCCAGCCTCACCCCTGCCTCCTGCTGGGTGCTGGGAGGGAGCAGTGCACTGGCTGAGTGTGGGACTGTTTTTTTTTTTTCAGGAGGCTCTGACTTTCAAGGATGTGGAGGTGACCTTCTCTCAGGATGAGTGGGGGTGGCTGGCCCCTGCTCAGAGGAACCTGTACAGGGACGTGATGCTGGAGAACTACGGGAACCTGGCTTCTCTGGGTAAGGCCTTGCTGGCCCCATGCTCCCGCCCACCTTTGCTCCTGCCTCCTCAGCTTTCCTTCCGGTGGCCACGCACCGAGGGCCTGACCGGGGCGGAGATTCCTGCTCTGTGATCTAATGACCAAGCCACTTAATCTGTCATCCAGTCTCTCCTCTTGGAAAAAGGGGGTAAGGGTGCCCAGCATGCTGGGTTGTTAAAGATGAAAAGTCCCATGCATCAAGTTCCTAGTCTGTTTAGGCACCTGAAGTGCATCAGTATGTTTCCCTGAGGGTGTTGTCGCGTGGTTCTCACCTCCAGAGAAGCCCAGTGACCCTTTCGGCTGTGACTCCTCTCAGCCCCTTGTCGCTGCTCAGGGCCGTTGGGAGTGGCTGTCTGGGCCTCCTGCCTCAGCCTCCTCTCCTGCCTCCCCGGCCTTCCCTTCTCCCTCCCAAACCCCAGGCCCAGACGGCCCCGGGGAGGGGTTCTGTGTGATGCCCCTGCCCTCCTCCTCTGCAGTGGGGCCGCTCGCCAAGCCTGCGCTGATCTCCTGGTTGGAGACAAGGGAACCGTGGGGCCTGAACATCCAGGGAGTGCAGCCTAAGGGCGACCCAGGGGCTGCCCCTGCAGGTGAGTCCCAGAGAACCTGCCAGATCCTGCTGCCCTGGCATCTGGTCTTCTCTTTCTATGATCTTTCCCACTGAGAAAATCGTGGGGAGCTCACTCCATGGTTGGCTGGAAGGAAGGTCCTTGTTGGTGTGGCTGAGGAGTGCGGAGCCCTGGGCGTCTCCCATCCAGACTGGCCTGTTTACTGGACACTCGTTTCTGGCCCTGCCCCTTCCCCAGATGGCCTTTCAGTGACATTCTTGTCCATGGGAGGGCCTCGCTGTGCCTCCTCTTTCCATCCATGGGGCTCCTCAGTGCTGTGCTGCCCTCCTGTTGAACCCCCACTGCCTGCTCCTTCCTGCTCTTAGGAGCCCTCCTTCCAGTCCTGCTCCCCTTCTCCAGTCCTGACAGGGCAGCCCACCCTCCTCAAGCCCCACCCGGCGCTGTCTTGTGCTGTGGTTCCTTTCCCCTCTCTCGCACTGAAGTTTCACACTGGCCTTTCCACCCTTTTTCTTTTGTAAAACTGCATGTGATTTCTAGCTTCTCTGCCCTTCTTGCTTCTCCTCCCTCTTCTTTGCCATCTGGGACACCCTTCCATGCTTTGCCTTGTCGCTGTTTTGTAAAGGTGTCGGCAGTCAGGCAAAGGCCACACCATCTAAGTTCATGCCCAGTTTTTGTCCCTCAGTGCTTTCGGCAGCTTCAAGGGTGGGAAAAGAGTACATTCTCTTGTGTTTTATTTTGTGTCAGGAGGTGAGCTCCAGATTAAAACAAACAAGCTCATCTTAAATCAGGAGCCTGTGGAAGAAGCAGAAACCTCGGCTGTGTCGTCAGGATGTCACATGGTGAGGGTGTCGGAGGAGACCGGGCCAGGAGAGCCTTTGGAAGTGCAGAGCAGCCTGCAGGAGCGGTGTGGTGACCCCACGCCAGTGAGTGTTAAGAAAAAGGAGACCAGCTTCAGTCTCAAGACAGAAGAATCGGGGGAACCGGAAGGCAGCAGTGGCCTTGATCTCAAACACGTGGTGTATTTGCGAGTTCCCAGGAGAAAGCGAGCCCTGAAGCGTGGCTGCGGCTGGCACTTCCGGGGTGGCGCCTACCAGCTAGACTGCAGGGAGTACGGCAGGGGCCTCAGGCGCCTGATCGGCGTGTTGGGCCTGCGCCAGAGGCTGCACGCCACGCTGAAGGGGGTTGCGAAGGACATGCACGCGAAGGACTTCCTGAGCTCCTGTCTCCAGTGGAGTCTGCACGGGGTGGGGATGCTGTACAAGTGCAGCGACTGTGGCAGGACCTTCGGTCACCGCTCCCACCTTGCGCACCACCAGAGGCTCCACACGCAGGAGAAGCCCTTTAAGTGTCGGGTGTGTGGGAAAGCCTTCAGGTGGAGCTCGAACCGCGCGCGACACGAGAGAATTCACACTGGGCTGAAGCCTTATAAGTGCGGTTTGTGTGACAAGGCCTTCCAACGTGTGTATGCCTACCATCTGCACCAGGAGACCCATGCGAGTCAGAAACTTCTGGAATCTCCACAGTGTGAGGAAGTGCGCCCGTACGGCTCAAGGTTGGATCATGTGCAGGAGCAGAGCAGGGAGAGTCTCTTCGACTGCAGCCAGTGTCGGAAGTCCTTCCACTGCAAGTCATATATCCTTCAGCATCAAAGGATCCACACCCAGGAGAAACCCTACAAATGCACCAAATGCAGGAAAACCTTTAGGTGGAGGTCCAACTTTTCTCGCCATAAGAGGATGCACCAGGAAGACAAGTTCTGTAACAAAGATACCCGCGGAGAAGACCCCCGGGAGCCCCCTCTTGGCAGCCAGCCCCCGAGCGCCCCCGCGGTGGAGAAAGCGTTCCTCTGTCAGCAGTGCGGGCGAACCTTCCCAGGGAAGAAGTCTCTCCTCAACCACCAGCGGGTCCACGCGGGCCGGGAGCCCTACCGCTGCGGCGAGTGTGCCAAAGACTTCGCCCACAGGTCGGCCTTCCTCGTGCACAAGAAGCAGCACACCCTGAAGAGAGAAGCCACCCTGAAGAGAGAAGCCGAGGCTGCGCCCCCCCTCGCCCCTGAGGGGGGGCTCCTAGGCCATCCCAGCAGCCAGGCCGCAGAGGAGCGCTTCAAGTGCAGCCACTGCGGCAAAGCCTTCCGCAACCACTCGTTCCTCCTCATCCACCAGCGGGTGCACACACGCGAGAAGCCGTACAAGTGCCAGGAGTGCGGGAAGGCCTTCCGGTGGAGCTCCAACCTGTCCCGCCACCAGCGGAGCCACTCGCTGGGCAAGCTGTTCGTGTACCATAACAGCGGTGGCGCCGTGGACGTGCAGCAGCAGGTCCTCATCGGCGAGAAGCCCTTCTGGTGCCAGGAGTGTGGGAAAACCTTCACCCGCAAGAGGAGCCTCATGGACCACAAGGGCATCCACAGTGGGGAGAAGCGCTACAAGTGCAACCTGTGCGAGAAGTCCTACGACAGGAACTACCGCCTCGTCAACCATCAGAGGATCCACACCAAGGAGAAGCCCTTCAAGTGCCAGTGGTGCGGGAAGGACTTCATCGGAAGGCACACCCTCTCCATCCACCAGAGAAAACACACCCGGGCGGCCGAGGCACCACCCTCCCAGGACACAGGGGCGACTTCGCAGGAGTTGAAGCCGAGTGAGGAGACGCCCCTGGAGGCCCGAGAGGGAGTGTGCGAGAGGAGCACCAGTCCTGCCGGCCCCCAGGACACGCCCACGGGGAAGAAGAGTCACAGATGCAGCACCTGTGGGAAGACTTTCAGCAAGACCTCACAGCTCATCAGCCACAAGAGGTTTCACACGCGCGAGAGGCCCTTCAAGTGCTCAGAGTGTGGGAAGACCTTCAGGTGGTCTTCCAATTTGGCCCGGCACATGAAAAGGCACATTGGTGATTAGCCGGGAGCCTGGCGATGGGAGGAAGTTGGCAGGGGAAGCCGCAGTTGTAGGAGGTGCGGGCACAACCTTCACAGAGTGCCCGGCCCTGCCTGTTTCAGAAGTGAGTCACAGAGCCTCTTGAGGGTTCAGAAACTCGGGGTGGCCCCCATCCTACCCACTGGGCGGTGAGATTCTCCTTAGTGACCTTCTAGAGACTCGGGCCCTCGGTAGCGGCCTTCGTTCAATGGCCTGCCCGGAGCTCCCCAAGCTGGGTCTTCTTCCATAGCTGTACCGGGAGAGACCGGCACCCTTTCATCTGACACGGTGTGTGTGGCATGGTGGGAAGGGGCCGGTGGGGTCCTAGGCTCCCCCTGGGTCTGACCTGTTGGCACGGTGCCTGTTCTGTTTGACCTTGTAAGCGTGAAGCAGCTCTAACTCCTGCCAGTGTGGCCCAGGAGCCTCCTGCGGAGTTCTGCCCGTGGCCTCCGCCCTCACAGCCAGCTTTGGATGTCTGCTGTGGGCGGCATGCGGAGGGGAGCAGCGTCCGGGCCTCCTCCCTGCAGAAGGGAGCGTGCTGTGCCTCCTTACCACCTCCCTGCCTCGGGCAGGGCTGTGCCAAGCCCCCCACACTCCAGGGTGTCCTGTGAGCCAGAGGCCCAGCAGGACCAGGACAGAGAAAAAAATTGTGGTCTGGGGTCATGACAGACGATAAACATGTGAGATACATAGAGTGGTTGGTATGTGTGTTGTGGACACATGAACCAGAGGAGAGGGTGTGCTGGATTTTGAGGCGGGTTGCAATTTTAAGTAGTCTGGTTGTGAAGGGCCTCAAAAGAGAAGGTGTAATTGGAGCAAAGACCTGCAGGAGGTCAGGGAGGGAGCCCTGTAGGTGTTAGAACCAGGCACAGGAGGTGGGCTCTTGGCTGGTGTCCTTGGGAGTGACAGGAGGCCCCTGCACCAGGGTGGGGTGAGCCGAGCCGGCCGGGGGAGAGGGGCCCAGGGAGGTGCTGGCCAAGCCTCGTGAGTGTCAGGTGCACTTGAACAGTTTGAGTTGAGGAGTGATGTGCTCCGAATGCGAGTTACCTTTTACAAGAGTTAGCCACAGACCCAAGGACTCGGTGAAATGACAGAGCTGAAAATTTCGTGTGCTGCCAGTTTCCGAGAGTAGACTCCCCGCCCCACCAAGTGTCTGGATGTTCTGCCAGTGCCGCAGCTCTCAGCAGATGTGAGCAGCTGTGGACCGCAGCCTCACGCCCCAGCCCAGGCCCCAGCCCGTCTTTCCCTGAGCCTCCTCTCTGTAAGCCCTCTCCCCCGGCCCCACCTCTCCTGGTACCTGTGTTGTTTGGGTTTGCAAACATTTCACCCCCCACTGCAGTCAGCGAGGCCAGGGTCCAGCGCTTGTTTGTCTGGCTGCCACACAGAAGAGGTTTTGCACAGTTGCCTCTGTGAAGGACTCCAGAGCTGAATTTAGTTTATAGGTAAGTCTTGATTGGAAGTTTTTGAAAGGGCCCCCTACTCCCCAGTGAAATGATGATGGGAGGGTGCCAGTGGATAGTGTCGGGCTGCCCCAGCCTCACTTCTCACCTTGCACCCCACTCTGGTTGGGGGACACCCCTTTTTTCAACCTGCTCCACCTTCTCTCACTCTCAGGAGGAACTGGAGTTTGGGCTGAAGAGAGCCAGGTGGGCGGGGACTGCACTGGGAGCGGGGCGGGCACAGGCCTGTCAGTCAGCTCCTCCCTGCGCGCTCAGCCCCGCCCCTGCTGACCGGGACCAGCTGCTCCGGCCAGTCGCGGTTGCAGGCAGAGGAGAAAGCACAGGAAATGTAAGTTCATACGACCTTCTCACACTCATCCACTTGGCAGATTTTTAAAAGCCCTAGTGTGGGTGTGCACCAGTGGGAACTCATAGCGGTGGGAGTGGAGATTGTGACAATCTTTGTGTGAAGCAATTTGCAAAATCCTGTGAAGTTCTGTGCACTCTGTAACCCAGTGATTCTGCTCCTGGATAAACCATGTGCAGAAAAACTCCATGTGAAGAAGGGGATGTGTGTTAAGGCTCTGTGCGTTGCACTGTTGTTCACTGCAGTATTGTGGAGATTGGGAAAAGCTTCAGTTTCCATCAACAGAAGAACAGAAAAGTGGGCTATTTTTGCTACTTTAAAAAGTGAATATAAAAGCTAGAATTACATCTTTCATGGATCAAAAATGGTGCTGAGAAAGTGGCGGAAGTTACACACAAACACCATTTCTATGAATTTAAACACTGTGTCTCTGGGTTGGTTGTTTCCTTATGTTTCCCTTTTTCTCTAAAATGAACTTGAAGTGCCAGCCTCACGGGGTGACTAGGGGTGGAGGATGGCTGAAGAGGTCATGTGTGTACAGTGATTAGACTAGTGGCTGGCACGCGAGCATTGTTGTTGGCATATAGTAAACCGTGTCGTTACCGTTGGGCGCAGTAATGTATTTCCTGTGGATTCGAGTTACACGACGTCAGCGTGTAGCATCACGTGGTGGAATGATGAGTGAAAGTCCTGCTCTGCTGACGAAGTCGGGGCGGGGGCCTGGAAGCCACAGTCGTGCGATAGGTCTTTTTAAAATAGATGCAGACGGTTCGGCATGTTGATTTATTAACAGCACTGTGTGGTGGGTTCTTTTTTTTTTTAACTGTTTGCTTTAAACACTTAAAAATAAAAACTTTTAAAGCATGAGCTCTGACATCTGATTTTATAGGAATCCTGGACCTGCCTTCTATGTGACGCGACTTAGAATGAGTCACAGTCTCTCCAGGCTCCTCCCTTGCAGAAATTGGGAGCAACACAAACAGCCTGGGTAATGGAAGGGCTAAGCCAGGCCGATACGTATAGATGGAGTACCATGTGCCTTAGACATGGTGTCCCCCACGTGTTGACATGTGATCTCCACAATGTGCAGCTCACAGGAAGGTGTAAGCTCTCTTTCCTTCGTTCCTCCTTTCCCTATAGTAACCAGGAAAGCCAGAAGCCACCGACTCGTTTTAGTGACGAGATGGGCTCTGGACAGAGATGCACAGTCATTCATTCCGCCCTGTTAGGGAAGTGAGGAAAGGTTCGAGTACCCACTACCACAGCTCTTAAGTGTCAGCCAGGTTCTTGTCAGGAGCCAGAAACCATAGCGATAATTTTAAAAGCGTGTACAGAGTTCTTTGTTAGATGCATGTAACTAAAAGGCAGGAAGTGCGAAGGTGGCAGGAGGGTAGTGACTGCGAGAAGCAGCTGGGTGAGCTCATTTTTGATGTTTGACCGTTGGTAACTTTGGTTAACTTTCGAGCGCTGTTCCTTACACCTGGGCAAGCTGATAGAAAGCCAGGTGCTCCTTCTCAGCTCCTGAGAGGGGGTTTATGCAAACTCCAGGACCCCTCCCCTTAACCACAGTGAATACCAGACCTGCTCACCCCTCCTTTCATTCAAGGTAAACCAGCTGGTGTGGGTGTCTGTCCCTTCCCCAGAGAGCCTGGTTATGGGAATAATTCACTTTTCTGTAACCTCTTGATGTGTGTGATGGCCGTAGTCTTGACATCTGAACCAGTCCAGGTGGTGATGGAGTATTCACCCCACCACTACCGTGCAAGCTATAAAGCTTGATAGAAGGGGATAGAAGGAGTTAGAATTGTTCGAAGGTGAGATGTGGGAAGAGAACCCCTGCAGATGCAGACCTGTGAGGAGGAGGGCCTGCCCAAACCTGCAGGGTGGGGCTGGAGGCTTGGGAGAGCCTCTGCTCCAGTCTGAAGCCCGTCTGGGGGAGGCGGCTTTGTCTGGGAGGGCCGGTCTTTTTGTTCTATTCAGGCCTTCAACTGATTGGATGAGGCCCATCCAGATTATGGAGAGTGATGTGCTTTATTCACAGTCCATGAGTTTTAAACATTAATCCAAAAACACCCAGAGAAAAACCCTAACGTCAGGCAGCTCCTGTGGGGGTTTACGGCCCAGGCAAATAGAGGTGAAATTAATTGTTACACTCCCCCAGCATCATAGGCGTCCTCTCCTGTTCTTGGATCACAGCACCATTGGCGCCGCCCAGAGGTGTGTTGCCCAGAGATTTCCAGCCCATCACAGGCACCCACAGAAGGGCACACATTTCAGGCTCTGGAGAGAAGCGGCAGGTGGTGCGGGAGGCTCTGTGCTCCACGTGGGTGGAGGTTTGCTGGGATGTCATGTACCCACACAAACGAAGGTAGAGGCCTGTTGCTTGACTCCAGCTGACTTGTCCACATCTAAAGCAGAGGTGAAGACCTAGGAGAGTTCTCCATCCACCCCTCACCCAGCATGGGTTTCAGGAAACCCCACGGGTGGGCTGCAGTCAACTGGCCCACCTGCCCCGTGGGGGCACAGCTTCCCACAGACACCAGCTTTTCCAGGGCCACGAGAGGCGTAATCTGTCGCAACTTAATTTCAGTAAGAAACACACAGGACATCTCCAAGTGGTCCACTCCCCATGCTCTATGAACTCAGGGGTTCTGCTTCTCTCATAGGTGTGAAGTGATGACCCTGCTGGGTGCGCTCTGGCAGCCCTTGCCTTCTGGCTTAGGGTAGGGTTCAAGGTTTGATACCGGGTGGAGAAGGTGGGTCTGACGGAGCAGCCGAGGGAAGGGTGTGTGCCCCAAGGCCGTGCTCAGTGGATTGAGGAGGGAAGAAGCCGGGTTCACTGGGCTGTGAAGGGAGGAAGCACCAGGAGGAGTGTGTGTGTGTGGGGGGGGGGGCGGCTGCCTGCGCCCTCTCCTTTCATTCTCTGGCAACACCCCCGGCCTTTATGACATCAAAGTCCCCGGCCAATCACAGTGCCTACCCTTGGCTGTCACAGTGGGCCCGCCAAGCAGTGAGTGGACAGAAGTACCTTCCTCACCAGTATAAGAAAGTAGGTCTTGGCTTGTGCCAGTCGGCATGTCTGGGTGGGGGCAGAAGTGGTCTCTATTTTAGTGGTGAATTTACTCCTGGGATATCATTTCAAAACATGCACAAATAAAATTAGGAGCTATCCACGTCGTTAACAAAGCAATTTAAGAGCATACCCGAAGTACTGAGTTAACAACTTAATGACTGAAAGGAACTTTTACTAATTTGGGCATAAAAAAGCCGTTTCCCAGGAGAGACTGCTGGTGTTCCCGACTGGGATGCTGGTCAAGGTAGAAAGGCAGGCGCGGGCGGCAGTTAGCGTCACAGGAGAGGACTCGGGGAGCGGGGAGCGGGTGCCTGGTCTGAAAGAGGTGGCCTCTTAGGTGGGAGGAGCCCGAGACGCTGCCACCGAGAGTCAGGCTGGTACCCGTGTGACTTGGGAGCTTGTCAAAGGCCTGTCGTCATCTGTGGAGTTTTCAGATGGGGGAAAGACAAATCCCTTAGAGCACATTTTTCAAGAGCCTGGGGACACAGCAAGCCGAGTTTCCAGGGTCAGGTGGGACGAAGTGATGGAATGAGGTGATGTTTCATTCCTGGGGACAGAGGTGAAGGTGCTGGGGCAGGGGACCTAGACAAGTAGCAAGGAGGGCCGAACAGAGCCACGCAGGGCGGGACAGAGAGCTTTGCTCTTTGCTCTGTCCTCCGCGGTGGCCTTGTGCTGGGTGGGCACAGGCCCACAGCAGCCCCTGGGAGCTTCAAGGCCACGGGTGCCAGTGGTGGACAGTGGCAGGGAGCAGGCTGCTAGGTGAACAGCAGGGGGCGTGGCGGAGTCCAAAGTGGTACCACCTCGGTGGGCAGTACCGGGCCGGCGAGAACAGCCTCGTCGGATGACCTGGGGCCAATCCAAGAGGATGACCTTTCCATCTCCTGTCAGCACGAGGGGCCAGAACCTCGTGACAGCCGGCAGCTGCTGGGTCTGTACAGGGACCGAGGTGGCCAGGCGGGGAGCCGGTCTGTGAGACTCTCGTCCCCCGAGCCCCGCCCCCCCCTCCGGCCCCCTGCGTCCACCGTGCGGCCGGCCCCTGGTTCGTGCCCCTGGTTCGTGGTTTACCTCCTAGAAAGAGCAGACGCCGCCTGGGAGCCCTGCAGCGAGATGGGCAGAATGAACTGCGGGCAGGGGGGTGCTGCCGGCAGAGACGCAGGCTGTCACGTGCCGTGACTGGCGGCTGCAGGGGGTGGGGGCGGGGCTGTGCCGAGAGGCACTTTGCACAACAAAGGCCAGGTTGCTAGGGGACGCCCCCTCCGCGCCCCGCCCCCTCCCAAGGCCCCTCTGTGAAGCTCCCTCCAATGACTCCCCACCCTAGACCTTCCAGACAGGTGAGCTTCACACTCCTGGTACTTTTCCACCCTCTAACTCCTGGCCGCCTGTTGAATCCGCCGTGCCCTTGCTGGCGCTACCCCAATTGTGGGCATCCCTGCAGGGTGTGCTGACTTCCTCATGACCTTGTGGACCACCAGCGGAGGGTGGGCAGTTTATTTCCTTCTCCTGGCTTGCCCTTGGCCCCTGCCGTCTTCACCAGCAATGGCAGAAGCCTCCTCACACTTAGAAAGGACCTTTCTCATTCCTTCTGCCGTGGCTCGCGGACCCGAGCCTGGGAACGCTCTGTTTCCAGGGCTGAAGCGCTTATATTGGGGCACCGGCTAATGGAGGCTAGTGTCTCTAGTCGAAGTTCTGTGATTTTAATCACATCTGCAAAGTGCCCCTGCCGTGTGATGAAACAGTCCCAGCTTCCGAGGGTGAGGGCATGGCCATTGCTGCCCGCATGCCGTCATGTTTTTGTAAAATTTACAAGAGCGATTTTTTTTTTGGTAAGAAGGCCCAGAATTCCCCATTCTCCTCTTAACCTAAGAAGGGGATTTTCCAGCTGTAGGTCATTACTCATTGTTGCTTCCTTTACAAAATGACTTTGAGGTGTGGCAACCAACATTTGCTTCATGGATGTAGAATTGAACTGCATAGAAAATGTTGCAGTAACCATTTGTGTTCCATGAACTTGTTAGCACCCCTCCCCTGCCCTCAGAATTAGGTCCAGTTGTTAAGTATGCTTCTTAGTCCACTTAAGATTTAAAAATCTGAGAAGGCATTAAGACCCTAGAATTCATATGGAGCCTCCAGTTAGGCATGTGCCTGGTCCTGGGAAGAATTTTTTTAAAAAGATTAATTTATTGATTTTTTTTTTTTAGGGAGAAAGGAAGGAGGCAGAAAGAGGGAGGCACATTGATTTGTTGTTCCACCTATTTATGCATTCCTTAGTTGTTTTTTAAAAAGATTTTATTTTTAGAGAGGGGGGAGGGGAGGGAGAAAGTGGAAACATCAATGTGTGGTTGCCTCTCACATGCCCCCTACTGGGGAACTGGCCTGCAACCCAAGAATGTGCCCTGATTGGGCATCAAACCAGCAACCCTTTGGTTCGCAGGCCGGGCATCCAACCCACTGAGCTACACCAGCCAGGGCTCCTTGGGTGTTTTTTATATGTGCCCTAACTGGGGATCAAACCCACAACCTTGGCATATCCAGATGATGCTCAAACCAACTGAGCCCCCACCCCCGGTCAGGGCTTCTGGAAAGACTTGTGGTGCATCTGGGAGGGGTCTCCCTGACAGAGCCTGAGTGCCCGTGGCTTACAGAAGCCCAGGGGCTGGGGTGGCTCCCTTCCCCGGGCGGTGTAGGTGGAACTGCCGAAGGTGCACCTGTGCAGTCAGTCTTCTCTCTTGTAGCGATGTCTGCGAGCCACTTTGAACAGGGGAGGAAACCTCTGAGTACGTTCTTCTGGGTAAACGAGGTAACTGGAGAAGTCACCTACCCGCCACTGACGGCAGCTGAACCCGCGGCTCCTCTTGAGCAGCCCGGAGAGAATCTTGGTGTGGGAGCACTCACGGGGCTCCGCCAGGGCCTCTCCAGCCCTCCTGAGCCTTGGGCTGACTCTCCATCCCTTCTGACGGCTTCACTGAGATACAGTGGCTCAAGAAACTCCCTCCCACCTACACTGACCCACCACCAGCTGGCTGAAGCTGCAGCCAGGAGCCCCTCGTTGGTCTCCGCGACCCCTGTTACCATCTCACCGCCAGGAGGCGCCCTGTCAACATTAGACCCCGGTGGACATGCCCCTCCACCACTAGCCTCTGCCTTTCCTTCCAGCCCTTCTGTCCTCTGGGCCTACACCTGTAAGCTGAGAAATACCCTTACTGGGAGTAACTGATTTTCCTTTTGAGCTGGAGAGCATTTGCCTGGCCACGCCCCTTAAGAGCCCTGCTGAGCCAGAGGGGCCGGTGGCCTGCACACCAGCATGCCCTGGGAGGACGTGACTGCTTACCGTGCATGCCCGCCTGCAGGCTCTCCGCTACTGTCTTATAGGAATGTGCCGGATGCTTCCAAACTCAATATAAATCTCACTTAGATTTGGACACGCAACGTTTTTTAGACTTCCTTTGCCTCTGAGCCTATTTGGCATTTTACTCCGAACTCCTCAGGGGTTGATAATTCGGCTCCGGTGTTGGTGTCACGGCAGTGTGTCTGGTTCCCCGCTGGGCCCGAGGGGGCCTGAGGGGGCTTTCGTGGTTGAGACACAACAAGCGCAAGCCCAGGTTGCTGCCTGTGCCTCTGACCTACCAGCCACAGGTCAGAGGGTCTCACCCCCCCCCACCTTGGGTTCCATAAATTCACCGGAGTGGCTCACAGAACTCCAAAACATTTTACTTGCGAGACCCCTGGTTCATATAAAAGCACACGACTCAGGAGCAGCCAGACGGAAGAGATGCGCAGGGCGAGGTATGGGGAAGGGGCTCAGGGCTTCCCTGCTCTGAGCGCTCCGCACAGGATCACAGCCCTCCATGTCTCAGAAGCCCCCGTGGGCTTCAGCCTACCTTCCCATTCCTCATTCTGCACCCCCCACCCCGTGGCTTCATGGTGCCCGCCCTCATGTAGCCTGATCAGCCCTCACCTGCCAGTTTGTCCTTAGGCCGGTCCATACTGCGAAGCCCCAACCATGCAGGTAACAGGACCACGGGGCCTCTTCCCTCCAGAACACACCCAGGCTGCCCCGAACAAGGCAGGAGTGGGTCCCAAAGCCTGTGCACTTTACTTTGGGGAAGAGGCAGGCTGCTACCTAGGTTCTAAGGATGGATGCTGCAGTAACTTTTGTGTTTTAAATGAACAAGCGGTTTGCTAGCTTGGGACTCAGCCGGCTGCAGCTCCCAGGGGCCAGCCTGGTCTCTTGCCCTTGCTGGGGGGGGGGCCCTGCTGGGTTGAAGCCTCGGCCTGGGTCCCAGCAGAGGTCAGAAACCATGCAGCAATTTAAATGGGATGCTTAGCATATAAAAACTGGCAAACTTGGGTGAAAGGATGACCATAGGATGGAATAAAGCTTTATGGTACTCTAGGGAGGAGGGCAAACCCCCAAGGAAGAGAAGGCTTGTCAGGGAGTCACCTCCAGAGGACTGGTGGTCAGGCCTCAGTGGAAAAGGGGTGGCTGTGCCCCCTGGATGGCAGGGGAGTCGGCAGTTGCCCTGGCTCCCCCGTCACTGGGTCAGCAGGAAGCAACCCCGGGGCACAAGTGGGGTGCAGGCAGGTCAGTGGAGGGTGGGTCCTGTGGACAAGACCAGTAGCCAGGGTGCTCATGCAGCAGAAGGCCTGAGCTTGAGCGAGTCCAGAGGGCCACCAGGCCCAGCCAGGGCCATGTGTTCTGCACCCACACCTGGAGTGGGTTCCCACTGGAACCGCCACACCCACCCTCTGCCCAACACAGAAGCTTCAGACAGACCGGTAGGGGACCCTCCTCCCACAGGGTCATTGTCGCGCCCTCTCCCGAGAAAGCTTACCATGGGGCTCGCTGGCTCTCGCTGTTCACAGCCGGTGGGCAGGGCAGGTCTGCAGCTCTCATCCTCGGGAGGCTTGGTAGCAGTTCGAGGGCCTGATCCCGTCTGTCTTCCAGGCTGGGGCGGGATGTTCTCTTTTAGGTAAGATTGGGAGAGGAAGTCAGACAAGAATGCACAGGCTGCCCATTTCCTACAATCTCTTATTACGTTGAAATAGTTGTACAACTATTAATAACTGAATAAAGAGAAAACAATAATTTGATTGACATATTATTTATTATGTAACAATCAGTACTGAGACAAATTTCAAAATGTATTACTGAGGGTCTTATATTAGTTGATTTTAGAAATGGCATAATCCAAATGCATTTTTCCAATAAATTTTCTTACGTAACCTGTAAGGAACTTTTTACTCCCGTCATTTGACTCTGGGAACATCTGTTACATTAGAAAAAATGTTAAGTACCACTATTAGGCACGCGCACACACGCACTGTACTAATTACAAAATCAGTATTTCTTTGGAACACACATTTAAAGTTTAAATAATCAGTGTTTTAGACTGATGTAAAACACACATCAAGAATGGTTTTAAACATCTTTCTTCTCTAACAGGCTGGGGCAAGTCCCTGTCTGTTTCAGGACTAAGAGCCGTGGGAATGGTGCCCCACATTAGGACACAGCGTGTCCCCTTCAGAAACAAGCTGAAGGGGTTTCTAACCAGATCCTGCAGAGAGAGGAGTCCTCGCCCCTCCGGGCCGGGCTGTGTGGTGGTGGCCCGCAGGGTTTAACCACTCCGGACGGTGGCGGGCACAGGAAGACAGGCTGAGAGGGGTGACGGAAAACCCGAGTGTTTGGAATCATGTTGCACTTGACCCCATTTGCTGGAACTCTTCGGGAAACAAGAATTTTCCAGTTAGCGTCTTCCATGGCAAGAAACGAGTCACCTCAGGAAATGACTCTGAAAGCCCGCTGTCCCTTGGTTCCATGCTGCAGCCGCACCGCTCCCGTGGGAGGGAGACTTACGGGCTTAACACCAGGTCCTGCCGCTGGAGATGTTTCAACCAACTGGTATCTGACTGCTGAATTCATTGTCAATACCACATACCGTTCGATTGCTTTTTCCCTCTATCTGTTAGGCAACATTCGGTCATCTAGTTTTCGCTGCCCATCAGTCCTCTATCTTGGGCACCAGCTCTCCACGGTGGCTGCAAAGTGCACGTATGTGCTCATGCACGAGATTCCACGTGAGGAATTGACTGAGGATCCATGTGGAATTGGGTCACACACTTACCCACATTTGCTCATATAAAAATAGACATTGTTAGCTCTGTAATTCCTCACATACCGCAAAATGTGTATTTTCCCAACAGCTTTTTACCCAGTCTTGCCAATCCGATAAGACCAGGAGTTAAAACCTTTTGAAAGCAAGTTTCCCAGCAGAAATTAATTTTTTAAAAAAGGTCTACTTTACAGCAGCAGTTAGATGCTTCGTTCTTGGAGTAGGTGAATAATATCGACACAGTGAATCGTGGGTTTAAATACGTTTAACAGTTTCTTATCTCTCTGAAAATAATACAGACTTCTGGGTTATTTGGTGGCTTTTCCATTTTTCCAGTTCCAAGGGATGCAGAGGTCGCCATCCTGCAGGACAGAGTAGAAACTGGAGACACAGAGGCGCATGCCCCGCAGGCAGGGCAGTGGCCGGTCCAGGAGTCTCCTGCAGCAGTCCACCATTTGGACACTTGAGACACTGGGGTCCTTATACAACTTTTCCAGGGCAAACTGCTTCGTGGAAGCCTGTATCAGTTCACTTTCAATAACCTTCAACCTGTTATATTGAAAATAAAAATTTAAATTGCCACAAGCAAATAGAAGAATGTAAAACGTAAATGTATTTTCAGATACGGGGGGCTACACCTTTCTGCTCACAACACTGAAAATGGCGTCCACGAGAGCCAGACCGTATGGTTTGAGAGACACACCTGTGGTTATCATGCAGGACCTGCTATTTCCACACGTATCTCTGAGAGCATTTGTTAAATCTTCTGTAGTGGTAATGGGGTAAAAGTAATTAACACATAATTTAAAAAGCTCTTATCATGTCTCACCTAGCAGCTGTTAGCAACTGAAGAAAGCAGGAAGCTCACTGTGTACCAGACCCGGAGTCTGACCCTCGGGCAGTAACAACTCATAGAGATTCCGGAGTAAGCGCAGGCTCACATCCATCGGCACCTGAGGCCAGGCCCTCTTCACGCTCCCTCTGCTAGGCCCGCCCTCCCAACCCCCATGGCCTTCGCTGGAGGCTGGAGTGTCCGTTCCATCGAGGGCTTGACCTCAAGCCTAGAAAGCGAACAACTCAGGTGGGAGGAGCCCGGTCCACCCTCACCTGCGGACAGCACGCAGAAGCCACGTGGCAGGTGAGTGGAGCCAAGCTGTCAGGGCTCCCGAACTGGTCTAATTTAGGTCCTGTGCTGGCTGAAAAGACCGAACATCCACTTTTACCTGATCTTAAATTCTAATGAAAGAGCAGCCTACGTGTAGTAAAATACCCATAAGCTAGGAAATGTATGGAAACAAGTGGTCGCTGTGGTTGGTCTGCAGTTAGTGGTGCTGGTCTGTGTCACTGAGTCCCTTTCTGCAACAACATCCAGGGCACTTTGGCAGACGCTGCTCCTTTTTTCCGTGAGATGCCTGTTAGACCAGGCTTCCAAAGGTTCCGGAAGGTGGACAGGGTCAGGGCTGGTGGGGCTTTCGGGCTGTCTGCTCTGGGCAGGATTAGATGGGAAAGGTCTCGGGCACCGTCGACAGCAGGGGCGCCGGACATTTCTGCCAGGGCCTTTCTCGAGAGACCCAGTCTGGCTAAGGAACAAACAGCCTGGCAGCACAGCCGTGGCGCTGAGAGGCTCAGCACTGCCCTCCGCATGCTCTGCACAGGGCCCCGGGTCCCCACTGCTTCCCCGAGAAGCCTCTGGCCGCGTCCCAGGGTTTCCCTGACCTCCGGGCCCTGGGGCCCTGAGGGGGTGGCCCTTGCCAAGCTCTCTCTGGGGCTGTGCCTGGGTGCCTCTACTGTTTGTAGCAGACTAATTTTAAACACATTTAAACAATTCTTTTGCCTTTCCTTGTAGTTCTCTGCTTTATTATACTCATGCCGAAAGGAAAAAAACAGGAAAGGGAGGCACCGTACAACTGGGGGGAGCACCCTGCCCTGACTGGTGAGTCTGGCTGGTGGGACATTCGCTCCCTTCTCTAATGCCGAGAAATGGCTGACAGGGCCTGCCTTTGACACAGATTATGTCTATTTTTTAAAATCCTCACCTGAGGGTATCTTGTAATTGGTTTTAGAGAGACAGGAAGTGGGGCAGACGGAGAGAAACATCAGTGTGAAGAGAAACTTCGACTGGCTGCCCCCTCGTGTGCCCTGACCTGGGACTGAACCCACAGCCTTCTGGTGTACAGGACGACACTCCAGCGAACGGGCACCCAGTCAGGGCCCCCAGTCAGGGCCCCCAGTTATTTTTAACAAGCCCTTCTTTTCAAATTGAGGTCCATGGTGTAAATGTAATTTGGGTTATTAGGAATCAGCCAGAGCTAACCCCTGGCAGAACAAGGTGGGGAATAAGTAACTATGGAGCATCCACCCACCAGTCCATTTCCTAAGTTAAGTACAGTGTTACTGTTCCATATTTATGAGTTCTGAATACCTGCATTTTTTAAAAAAGATTTTATTTATTTTTAGAGAGGGAGAGAAACATCAGTGTGTGGTTGCCTCTCACGTGCCCCCCACTGGGGACCTGGCCCGTAACCCAGGCATGTGCCTTGCCTAGGAATTGAACCTGCGACCCGTTGGTTGGCAGGCTGGCACTCAGTCCACTGAGCCACACCAGCCAGGGCTGAATTACCTGCATCGTTAAAAGTTAGACTGAATGACAAGACCTCCCAGAGGGCCGACAGCACTCACTCATCTTTCCTCTTCATGTTCTCTCTTGCCTGCTGGGCTTTGGTGAGAATGAACCACTGTAGGTTTGCGAGATCACAGAGGGTCGGGATGTTAAAATGCCCGAGATCATGCAGGCTTGGAGCGTATCTGTCACTGTAATGAAACACACGGAAGGAAAACCATGGGTCCCCCCCACCCCCCGCTCCACTCCAAGGGAAAACACTGTATGAGGCTGATTAACGGAAGAGGAATTGATCATGGAGACCCACCCTAAAGGTGCAGCTAAACTGACACAGTCTCGCTGCCTCCAAGGAGGCACACTTTACCAGGACGACCACACGCTCCCCAGCCCTGTGACTGTCCCCATCTGTAAAGCGGGGACTGGAACCCGTTTCATGGCGAAGGGGTGGGAGTGAAGGAGAATGCACTTATGCTGCAAGCACAGTGCCTGGGAAACACTGTATGTAGCACATGCGCAGAAAATGCTGGCTACTGATTTAGCATCAGTCTAACCCTGTCATGTTTTCTCAGGATTGACTCACCCTGTAAATGGCCACATATTTATGGAATGTTCTAGAGAGTCAATCCTTCGGTTCTCTCTTGTCAGCTTTTCTAACGTGTAAGGAGCGCTGCTAACAGGGGTAGTGACATTCTTCTCTGTAATTCCTAAGAACCACATGCTGAAATACAAAGCGACTGCATCGGCTGACCTACACAGCCCACCTCAGTGAACAGGTAAGAGTCCTGCTTGTGTTCGGTGTTTACCTGTGGAGGATCATTTGTAAACCACGCAGACTTCGAGGGTGGAAAGGTATTCTGCTCTTCAGTAGTCGGTTATAGAACACATCAAGAAGAGAGTAGTATTCTTCCAGTGTCAATACTGGCTGTAATTCTTCAATATAAACAACTTGTATGCCGCCTAGCAGATAGCTTATTTGGTCTTCTAAAAACATCAGCTTCCTCTGAAGGTCAAAGTAACTTGGTAATCTTTCAAAAAGCTACAGGATTTTTTAAAAAAGGGAAGATATATTTAGTTTTGCATTATAACAACTCAATTTTAGGTTTCCAGAAAAATGGTATTGAGATATTTTAACAAGATAATCTTTTCCTAGAAGGAAAATTCAAGTAAGCAATAACCAAGAGACTTAATGTAATGCCAGCAATATTAATATTCAAGACAAGCCACATTAGAATCTTAGGAATGTGTAGATAGGAAGACATTGCAGAAAAGAACTACGTTCTAAATAAAAGTAAATCCTATGTACTAATAGATATTCAGGAAGAATCTCAGCTTGGTTTAGAGCAGGGGTGTCAAACTCATTTTCACTGGGGGCCACATCAGCCTCGCCTTCAAAGGGCCGAATGTAATGTTAGGATTAAATACAGGTAACTGCTCCTTAACCAGGCAAGGAGCTCGGGGCTGCAGCCAGGTAGAAACAAGGCGCCGGGCGGATAAAACAAGGTTGAAGGCTGGATGCGGCTGCGGGCCTTGTGGTTGCCACCTGTGGTTTAGAGTGGTTAAATGGTATAATGAAGGTTTCATTTCATCTCCAAGTCTATGTCTTCAGAATTTACTTTAACCCACCTAAATGATCACAGTCGGGGGGGACAAGGAGAACAATAAAAATCTGAATTCAGTGCATGAGGTGCCTCAGCAGGATGAAGCAGAGGTTTCTCAGGAGTCCGATGGGGCCAATCAGCCATGAGAAACAGGACTGAGAAAGGACAGAAGTGTACGGGGTGTTAAGGGAAGTCAGAAGGGCCTGGGCAAGCATGGATGCAGGACGGGGCGGCACGCTCACACGTGAGGAGTCTGGTGTGGCCGGACTGTGGCTGCCTGCGAGCGGACAGACAGCGGAAGAGGCAGCGGCGCGAGGTCAGGGGCGTCCTCGTGGGCCATGTTAAGGACTTAGATTTTGGACAGAAAGCTGTGGTACTGCAGCTGTGGAAATGCATCGAACTCTCTGCTATAGTAACAACAACGGCAGAATAAAATCCCCACAAATAATTTATAATGTACTTCTAACACTTTGTGAAAAATAATTTTACTACTTTTTCAATTTTCTTCTGAAGGGGTTATTTACAGATGGTAACGACACTGTAAAAACTTTTTATTCGGAGCTCACTGTAGATTCATAGATCTCTCACCCCACTTCCCCCAGGGTGGCATCTTGGGGAATGGGAATATCCTGTCACAGCCAGGAAACTAAAGTGACACAAGCCACTGACCTCATCAGGTGTCCTCAGTCTCACTGGGACTCGCTGTGTGTTTAACTGCATGCAGTTTCAGGTGGCAGAGCCCCAGTGAAGACACCAAGGAGTCCCACGGCAGGGCCCTTCATGCTGCGCTTGTGTAGTTGCAGACACCTCTTGACTCGACCACCACAGACCTGCTCTTTCTCTAATTTTGTTACTTGAAGACTTATAGATACGGAAACGTGCAGCATGTGACCCTTCGAGGCTGGCTTTCCCACTCAGCACGCGCGTCAGCAGCTCAGGCCCCTCCTTCCTGAGCAGCGCTCCGTGGTGTGGACCTGCCGCGCTTTGTTCACCCAGGCAAACGCTGCGGGGCACCAGGGTTTTCCCCTAGTTGGTCATCACGAACATCTGTGTGCAGGTTTCTGCGTGAACATAATTGTTCATTTCTCTAGTGTAAGTGTCCAAAGGCGCCATGGCTGGGCCCAGTGGGAAGCCTGTGCTGAAGGTGTAAGCGGCTGCCATGCTCTTTCCCAGGGGCTGTGCACCGTTTCACACTCCTGCCAGCAATGACGGAGGGAGGCTGTTTCCTGCATCCCCGTGAACATTTGGTGGAGTCGTTACTTTTCACATTAGCCATGCGTGCAGCGTGACGAGGTGTGCAGCGTGACGGGGTGTGCGGTGACATCTCATCGTAGTTCTAATCTGCGTTCCCCCGGGGCTCGTCGGTTCTGGCATGTGCTTATGTGGCACCCATCTGTCCACCTCTGCGACACGTCTGTTCGTGGCTTCTGCCCATTTTCTAGTTGGATTCTTTCTTTTTTCAGTGTTGAGTTTGGAGAGTTCTTTACATATTTAGATACAATGACCTCGTCAGATAATGCGGTTTGTAGATATTTTCTACTAAATATTTGATCTGAACAGACACTTCACAAAGAAGATACATGGGTGGCAAATAAGCACACGGAAAGACGCTCCCTGTCACTTGTCACTAGTGAACGCCCATTAAACCCACGAGGGGACAGTCCCGCACACGCACGAGAACGGCTCAAATGAGAAAGGTGCTGTGGCGAGTGCCAGCAGCTTCTTCCCAAGTTAAACCACGCCACCTTATTCAGCTGTTCTACTTTCGGGCGTTCATCCAAGAGCGAGGGACATAGATGTCCCGAGAAACATTTGTAGATAATGTTCATAGAAGCTTTATTTCTAACAGCTAAAACCTGATACAACCTAATGTCTGTCAACAGGTGGGCAGATAAACAAGCAGTGGTGGTACATCCACAGGACGAAGTAACACCTGGCAATAAGAAAAAGTCATTTTCTTGATACACCCAATGGCGTGGATGAACCTCAGCATGGTTATGTTAAAGGAAAGAAACCGGACCCCCCCACCCCCAAAACCCTGTACTCTGTGATTCCAATTAGAGGAAACTCCAGAAATACGAGCTATCTACAGTGGCAAAAGCAGACCAGCGCTGGCGGGAAGGTGTGCTGGGACGGGGCGGGTTGATGCAGGGCCAAGAGCACACTTTTGTGGGTGACGACCATGTTCACTATCTTAACTGGTAACAGTTTCACAGATATTCACATATGCCAAATCTCATCAAATTACACACTATATATGCACGGATTATTGTATGTCAATTATTCCACAAGAAATCTGTTAAAGTAAAAAACGACAGATACAGGCCTTTAGGTGATGTTTTGGGAAAGACCATAAAATTTCCAAATAAAAACTGAGTTAGAAATCCAGTCTTCTAAGTAGTATTTTGATTACATGATATTAAGCATCTGAGCTGAACAGACCTGCAACTATGATTAAAAACTTTATTTCACTGACATAACAGCATAGTTTGAAATGAAAGTACATGGAGGACAAATGAGGCTTTTTGCATCTAAGCCCCTCCTTACCTTGGTCCAGTGGTGGTGGACGTCCATCGTCCCCAGCATCACGTGGCCCACTGCGCTCATCCCGGAGCGGTCTGTAAACATCACCGTGCGTCCTGATGGGGAAACACAGACCCTGGGTCACTGCCAGAGCCGCCTCCTTCTGTCAGCACTGCACAGTTACTTTAGTGTGTAAATTCAGGGTGAAATTCAGTAGAAGTCCAAAGGCCAATTTTATGTTGCTGATTTACTCAAAAGAATGGATTTAAAAATTCAGCTGTGATAAAGTCACTTCTGCAAAGACTTCTAACATTTAGTTTTCCTCTACACTTACAGACGTGTATAGCAGCTAAGTAATATTTTAAAAGAAAAGGGAAATTGCTTACCTTTTGCATTTTTAAGTGTTTCCAGGTTCTGCTGTGCCAAGCGGCCCAAACTCTGCAGCTGGCTACAGCGGTGGGCGACGCCCCAGCTCCGTTGCCACCTGGTTGGTGAGAGCACAGCGGCACATCAACACCAGGCACCCTGGAGGTGGGGCACGCGGCTCACCCCCAATGCTCAAGTACGCACACTTTTCCAAACTAGCTCAGTTTTCAAGAAGCAACCAAATGGAAAATGGATTGTTTACTTGGTAAAAATATTACTACCCACGTTCAGGTATCTAAAGATTTAAAACAAGTAAGTAAGTTTCTGTTTTAAAATAAGGTGAAATGGGAAACACTTTGGAAAGATTTTTTTTTCTCCACATTGTTCAACGGTGATGATTTTGCTTTCAATTCAAGTTCCAATTAGGAATTCCAGGTGGGTGTATCAGATCCTTTTTTCTTATTGTTGAAAAAGTGATTTTTATGACACCACGTAATCTGCTCCTTTTATACGTGAACGTTGGATCTTAGTGACCCAGTGGAACCTGACGTTCACGTGATGTCACAGTGGTGCCGCTCTGTAAGAGTAAAGAGGACCAGCCTCATGCAGCACCTCTGAACTCTACTCTGGCATGTACTAGCTCTAGTACAACTAGCTCTACTGACCTTGAACTAGTTGCAAGTTCCTCTAGCCTTCCTATGGTGTCTCTTTCATACACCCAAGTGCGGCCCTGACCTGCACCCTGTGGTCTAACTCAGAGGCGAGCGTAGGATTAAGGCGCTCTGGGAAATGCAGATTCCTCCTTCAGCTGAACACTGAATCCGAGGAATGCCGTTTGTGATCAAGTGAAATTGGTTTAAATTCTTTTTCCTTTAACCCACAAATGAAAAACTTAGATATAATTTTAAAGGATGAACATTGTGATGAAGCTGCTAAATGCTGTTCTTACTAACGAAGGGTCTTTCACACCGGCTGTCTGGCTTTGGAGACCGTGGCATTGGTCACGCGAGGCCTCCGTTTCTGGGAGACTGGCTGGCCTTCCAGGAGGCGGGGAAGCAGCCCCGTCCACGGGCCTCCAACGCTTCGGTCCCCGGGCCTGGCTCTCAGACCCCACGAACCCCAGTGGGTCTCCGTGTGGGGGTGGTGCCTGTCGACATTTACTGCAGTGGGAGTTAAAGCCCAGGAATTTCTTCACAGCATCGTACGATAAAGCTTATTCTTTTTCTGTTTAAGAAATCCTTTCATTTTACTAATCCCAGGCTGCCCTGGCAAACCTTTTAAAACTTCCACTAGGAAGTTATTTTCATGGACACAGAACCAACAATACAACATTCATTTCCTTTCTCCTTTCCTGTTTTAAACTCGAATACCAACCTCACATGATGAAGGGATAATTATTTTTTACATATTATGAGTATATGAAAAAGGGTATTTTTCTTATAAACCCATTATGTAAAAAAGTTCAAACAGCTACAGCTACATCAGTATCTAGATCTGACTTCACTGTTTTAAACAAGAAATTGATAGTAGTTTTCTTACACACCTGAATACTTACTTTCATAAAAAGGTAATAGAGGAATATTTAGTTATCTGAATAATTAGAGTAAGAGATGGAAATATTTAACTGCTGGAAAACTCTGCCGCTAGGTAACGCGTGCTCATTATAACCTGTCAGCTAGGTTCTCTGTGGTACCTGATGTCTGAGAGCTGCAGCTGATGAGAGAGTTCGTCTTTCAGACGATCTAGTTCTTTTCTAAGTGGCAAACTGTTCTCCAGCTTTTTAACTGCACGTTTCCCATTGTTATCTAACCAGGATCTAGAGAGAAGAAAACAGATGTACATATGATAACTGCGATGCGAACACGCCTACTATTAACAGACATATGCATTCTTTTGAAGTAGCCCCATGTTAAACTCCAGTCAAACCTTTACCAAATTACAAGTGAAAAAATAAAGTGTAGACGGAAGTGGCTGAGATGAGACTTCAGCTGGGCACTCAGCTGAGGGGCAGGGAGTGGAGGTGGAGGGGGCTAAGCCTGTCTACACTAAGGTGGCAGACAGCAGCCTGCCAGACGCGGTGGTCTTGGGGACTCGGTGGTAAAGAGACGAGACCGCTAAGGTCTGCTGGACGCAGTGACCTGGATGGACACAAGGGAATACAGGTTGAGAGCTCTGGGCACTCCCGAGCCAGATTAAAATAAAGGAAGAAGCTGGGGTCCACCCAGCTAGAACCCATACAGCAGCCACTGCGAGCTCCTGCCTCAGGACCAGCTGCCCTTTCCGTGTGGCCTGCACCACCAGACGGGCTCCTTTGATGGCCACCCGTGGTCAGGAGTGTTTTAAATGGTGACTCAGTGCACACCCACGCACGCTTACTTATATACAGAAATATAACGGAAACAAGCGTTCTGAAAACAGTATTTAAACTTCTGACAACATATATTCAAGAAATTTTATAAAGGAACAAAGCAAAATGACTTTGCTGGCCCCATGTCAATAAAGTGTGTTATGATTTGCAATTTGAAAAACACTGACTTAGCCTATAATCACGGGGAAAAGCAACCAAATGCATGTATGAGGTAAATTGCGAGTTCCCGAACATGCTACAGAGATCGTTCCAATGGGTGGTTGTCCAGCCCGGCCTTCTGTGGACACCAAGATGGATTCAGAACCTAAGACACTGAAGGCAAAATAGAACTACTTGAGCGAAATTCAAATAGAAAAAATGGAGGCCTCACAGCCACTGGCAGTAGCCACCAGAACAGCATTTCAGTGGGTTTCTGTAGTTCACGGCAAAGACAGAACACACAGGTGATTTTGTTTAGACACAAATGGAGCTTGTTGGCTCCAAATTCAATTTTATATAATTAAAATAGTTTCTGTTATATTATTTGATAATCAGAGAATATTAAAAAAATAAGCAAATGCTAAAATTTATAACATAGAGTAGCATTTACTAATTTTATAAAGACTGGTAAATTCCTTTTATTATAGTATATAATTTAAAAAATTCCTCAGGTATTAACATTTTCATTATATCCTTTTTATACAGTATATAGTAAACTAATTTTGAAGTAAGATAAAGAACAATTTGCTGAGAAATTCAAAATTGCACAGCATGTTAAAAATGTAGATTGGAATGTAATTACCAGATGTATTATGAAAATAGATTAAATTGAGCTTTTGATAATTCTTCTGTTTTGTGTTTTAAGAAATCCAACTGATTTTCAATTTTTTTGTGTTTTATTTCACAATAAGAGACTATTTCAGCTTGCATTTCTCAAAAAGAAAATTATTTAAAAAATTAAAAGTCCACACTAAATAATACTGTTGTTATATTTTCTCACATTGTGTCCTGAAATATTAGAAATACCTTAACAAACTTTCAAGAATAAATTTTGATCAGGTGCATGCAATTTACAAATCATGTAAAGAGCAGTTTGAAGGAAATTTGCAGAATTGTTTTAATACCACTTCTGAAATGTATAATTCAGCACGTGTTCCTTCCTCTTCTATAACCTACATATATAATGAAGATGAATTAAGCAATACAAGAATAAAAATAAAAGCTTAAACTGTATACAGCCAAAATGACCACAGTGGCCACCAAGTGCTGGCCGCGTGGCAGAAACCTTAAACCTCCCGGCTGGGCCGCAGACACCCCTCGGCCTCATTTGGGATTAGTCTAGACATGTGGAGTTCCTGCGTCAGCACAGACAACCCACAGAGTGAATGCTCTGCCAGCATGTAGCTGAGGGGGACTGACCACACTGCAGTGGGCAAGGGTCCCCGGTAAGCCACAGACTCTGTAAGGGCAACTGTGGGGACACATCAGGTGGCTGATCTTCACAGCGTGCCATAAGGACTTACTCAATACACTAAAGACAGTTAATTACAGACAAGACAAACGACAGAGAAATGTTTTACGTGGTTTTTATCATTAAAATTTTTATCAATCTGTTCCGCATAGTGTTTTCAAATGTTGACACCATGTATTTTTACTACGCATTGATTATTACAGCAAAGGACCTTACTACTGAACTCTTCAAAGAAACTGAAAATGACTAACATATGAAGAAGCTTACATTAAAAGTATATAGATATGTTCTTTCTTTATGTGCTAGGGGTAACTTGAGGATAGAGTTTTAAAAACTTAAAATGATCTCCTGTATGTGTTTGGTATGAAAATATAAAAAATTTAATATAATTGGAAGTATTCTGTCAACTTTAAGATCCTTGCAACATCTTTTTCACATCACTACTGTGTTAACTGTACTGATAGAATTATTCTTCCTAAAAAAATAGGACTTTAATATTAAATAGGAACTTCAAACTTATACATACGTTAGGGTGGTTTCCGCTCTCGAGACTTGTTCGAGGTCTTCATCCGGGTCCTTGAATCCAGTAAAGGAGTAATAAGACTTGTCCCATTTGATGGGCCTGTCAGGCACCCTTTTCGCCTCTTTGAGAGGCTGGGGATGCGCACTGCTATTCAAGCTTTGGACATGTTCAACTGACAAACTGCAGGAGTTGAGAATATATAATACTGTGCTTAGCAGATCTCTGGTGTGCAAAGTAAATTTGACTGCTCGAAATCCTAGAGAATATAATTCCCCCAAACAATGAAGATGGTTGATTATTTGATTTATTTTAAATTTTTTTCATACAAAATTCAAAATCAAAACCTTCTAAAACATTCCATCACCGATTCAAATCTATCCACCTGTTGATGGAACACTACTTCCCTCTCCAGATCTGCGCCAGCACCATCTTTACCTCCACTGATCTCTGGGCCAGTTCCCTTCACTGGTTTAGCACCAGTGCCTAGACCCCCCCCCCCCCCCCAGCCCAAGAAGGGGATTTGGAGCATTCCAATGCTGCCCATAAATTTGGTGTCTGGGGTCTAAGAGATGTAACACTTTCACATGAGCAAGGGTCCCCTAAAGGTACTTTCTAAGAAGAAGTGGGAGGGAGGTGGTTGGGCCCCCCCCCCCCCCCGTGACTGGTTCAGAAGAGGAGAGGAGTCAGACAGCCTAGTCTCAGTGGTGACAGAAACCCATCTAGAGTTTTCTCTGTGATTGAAAGAGCTCATCCTCATACTTGCTCACCCACTGGCCCATAACTAGGTATTTTCAGATTGATTTAAAATTCCCTCACTGTTTACTTGTGCTTCACAGTCTGATTCTGATACTGGGTAGTCATTGGGCTAAGGTTCGTCATCTAACTGGTTAAGTCATCAACAGGAAATCCACTGTTCAGCATTTTCCCCCTCCTTTATTGGCGTGGTGCTTAAATGATGTAACTTATGTAACTTTTCAACCATCACTCCCACCAACTGCACCACTGTTCTCTCTCCCTCCAAATAGGAACAAAGACTCGAGGTTGGAAAGGCTGCAGTGAGGGCTTAAATCTAAGCTGACACCAACTCAAATATTTTCTCCACTGCAACATGTTTTTTCTCTTTTAAAGAACTATTGTAATTGGTTTTGAAAACTACATCAGTATTATGTAAGTGCATCCTCACCGTGAAATGAGGGCCACGTATTAGTGCAGACACAGAGCACTCGCACCACGGCAGGAAGCTCTGAGACAGCCCTGCTCTGTGTACTTGTGAGTGTGCAAGTGTGTTTACACAAACACGCCCCTACCATGTGAACTGTCACGCAGCCCTGGTGACCTTTCATCTCTACACAGTTAGAGCAAACTCCTTTGTAGTAGCTCTACACAGGTCCATATAATGAAGGTAGCGTAAGTTACTGAACACTTCTGAAACTGATGGACATAAAAGTTGTAATTAATTTTTCACATTCCGTAAAAAGCTGAAATGTATTTTCTTGTCTTTGCCAATGATGACAGTTATCACAATTTAAATCATTCTTAGGGATACGTATTCTCTTGCCATATACACTTAAGGAATTCAGAACATGCAAACTAAGAAGGATTTTTTTAGTGTAGTCATTCGATGCTATAGTGAGGAGTACAACCATGACCCTAATCAGTGAAGAGGAAAGGAAAACCCAAATGCCTGCGTTCGAGGTTAGGAAGAGACGGTTTATCCTTAGAGGAGCCAAGTCAAGAAATGAATCTGTCTGTATCTTGTCAATTCCATTAGTTATTTCATCCAGTGTCGGGGCTGCTCTGCAGTGAGGAGTGCCCGTATCGGATGGCGCATATTCCTCACTGGAAAACAGTACCTAATTGATTTAGTTTGCGCTTGATTCCTAAAGGAAAATAATTTATGTGTTTATTAGCTATTTATATGCATCATTTCCTGAAGTGTTTAGTCATTGTCTCTGCCCATTTTTGTAACAGAGCTACTGTTTTCTTTTTGACTTCTAAGAACTTTTTATATATTAACTTTATCTTTCTGCCATGTATGCTGTACATTTTCTCCCATTTCCAGTTTTGTTTTTCTAAAATCTATTTTTGTTTAGTGAAGGGTTCAGTTAAACATTAATTGAAAGTAGAATTTTTGTTTTTACTCAGACATAGCTGACTACAACTATTTATTTATGCATTAACTCACAGAAAGCTCTTAGTAAATCTTTAACTTGTTTTACAATTTATTATAATAAAGTTTATTTCTTCATAGACCACCAAAAAAATGGGATGAAGAAATGACTCAAGTCTTTAATTTTAGTAATCAATATCACTAGTAAACATTTTACTTTACTACCATCTCAATTATCAATGAAAAGGTGACTGATAATTTCTAATGTTCTAAAAATGAAAATGTGGAAAGAACCTGGTCTTAATTTTATAATCAGATAAAAAGATTAAAGACATAAAAATATTTTAAATCTTTGTCAAGAGTGCCAATCTTTGTCATAAAGGTAAAGGCAATGATCAATAACAATATTTTAAAAGAAGAAGTAATAGAAAATGTGGTGCACAAACCCAAGCATCAGACTAGGAATTTCTAGTACCAGCTATTATTTCTAGTACCAGCTCTATGCTTAATTTTCTGAGTGAAACTTTCCAAGTTTCCCTGTCTGTTCCTTCCTTCACAAAGCAACTTGGGTTATCCTTGAACTCCACGTGTATTCTGTACTTCAGACAAAGCCAGCTGATGTGGTAGGGAAGTAGCAGCTGAAGCTGTAGAAATGAGCTCAAGTCTCCCAAACATAAAAATAGAAACAGACTAGTGATATTTTTACTTTAAAAATGGTGAAGGGTTTACTTTGCTTTTATAAATCTGTCATGGAAAAATCATAAAATCCCTGTGTAAGCAGGATTTGGTTTTCAATTCCCAGCCTGACCTTGACCCTGAGTATAAGAGAAACATGGGTCTACTTTATGGTACTTACACGTCTTTGGCCTTACCCCAGCGAATGACAGCACCTCGGCTGCTCACGCGATTCTCAGGGCCAAGACCAGCACGGCCAGCATGGTCACTTACACTCTCACACAGAACTGTGCCACTTAGTGATAAAGACGGGTACTCATAATGGTTACTATGAGCATGTACAGCCTTCTCCAGTGGCGCTGTTCCTTTCCTTCACAACAGGGTTGTGAGTTGACGTTTTGTCTCTGAATACTGAAGAACAGGGTCTATTTTAAATAAAACTCCAAATCAGACGGAGATGGAGGAACAGCCGAGGAGAGGACCTTGCGATTCCTGATCTCCCACCTTCAGTCATGGGGGGTAGGCGGTGAGAGGCAGGAGAAGACGTGCTACCAGACTCACGTCCCTGGGAGACTGGGTGGGACGCTGTCTCGGACATAAAGACCCCGTTTTAGTGCTTTTCAGACCGAGCTCCCCGTCACGCCATCCAAGCATGAGGAGTGAGTCAGAGTGTCGGTACTCACACACAGCACTTCACCTCTTTCATTTTAATAGCGAAGGACCGGAAGTGAAGGTCGCACAGCTAGTCGCTGGAAGAGCTAGAAACGGATTGGAGATCTTAAAAGGCCTATCAACGTTTGACTTTCATTAATAGTTTGTTTTTGAAAAATTTTGTGTATTTTCTTTTTTGTCCCTTTTTAAAAAATCCTCACCCAAAGCCACTTTGTTTTTTTAATTGACTTTTTAGGGGGTGAGAGAAACAGATGTGAGAGAGAAGTGTCAATTGGTTGCCTCCTGTACCTGCCCAGACCAGGAATCGAACCCACAAGCTAAGTATGTGCTCTGACTACAGGGATCGAACCTGCAATCCCCCAGCTACGGGATGATGCTCCAATGAACTGAGCCACATGGGCCAGGGCTACTGTGTATTTTCCAATTGTTTTAGTCTTAACTCACCAAAGCTCTTACCAACTCTTTAGGTTGTTTTAAAGTTCACTCTAACAATAAAGTTATTTCCTCAAGGATAACTGAAAAGCTATATATTTGGAGTAATAACAGAACCATATTTGCCCTTAATTTTAAGTATTACTGGTTCATGGATGGCTAAAGCAGTGACAAAGGACCAAAAAGAGGCTGTATATTAGGAATGATTACACTAAAAAAAAACCAGCTTCAGGCTAGAGTTAGAAGACCTGGCTGGTCCCCGACCCAGGTTCTGTCTCCATAGCCCTGGGGATGGCACGGGACGTCGCTAGGTTACAGCCAGGCAAACACTGCCCGCTTGGCAGGGAACACGGAGGAATGAATAAGAGAATGGAAGCTGCATTTTTAAAAAATATGAATTGTTACCTAGTTTGACACTTAAAATAGCACTAAAATAGAAGGGGACAAATAGGAATACTTCAATTTTAAAGACAAAAAAAGCTTACACACACACAAAAATGGCTTATTAAAACACATGTGGCCAGGAATAGAATCTAATTCTGGGAAAACCAATCAATTAAATGGTACCATTTTTCTATGGCCACGGCTTCAATCCAGAGGTATTCTGGCACCATCAGACTGAGTGAGCCTATTTAACACGAAGCTTGCAAAGGACAAACCAGCAACAGGAAAACGTACCGACAGGACTGAAGGTTTCCTGGCCATCAGAGGAATTTTGATCTGTTTCTCTCACATAAAACGTGAGCTGAGTCGGTTTCAAAGACTTGAAGCCCGGTTTCTGGAGGTTTTCTAAGTAGACACTTAGTTTCTGAAGAGAGTTCTCATTAACTTTCTGGAAAAAAAATTATCAAGGGGTATTTACACATAAAATAGAACAAGGAAACAACCTTCTGAACACATGTTGGGAACATTAAGTGAGTCAGTATTAAAAGATGCTGTGGTTTCACAGCCCTGCTAGAGGAAGAAAAAGCATCGCCTACGACTAGGCTTAATGTTTCCATACACACTGGATTTAAAAACTTTAGCCAACGTCGACCAGATATCACAATCAGAGTATTTTCCAAAAGCAAAGAAGCAAAACTGATCTGTTTTTGATTGCACCTGGAAAAATAGTGATGTTCTAATTCTCAAGAGTTTTAAATTCCTTTTCATGTTAAATCAGGCATCAGGGTTAATGAAAAGAAAAGGAACCAATGAAACAATTCCAAAGCATTTAGCTTGGTGACACGTCATCTGATGTCAGGGGCTACTGGCCTTTGTAACTGGGTCCCCAGGGGTTTTCTCGCCAGGCTGCGTTCTCTGAGCGCATGTGCAGCAGCGTGGCAGGGACATGCACTGGTGGGAGGCAACTGGAGGGACAACGGGGCCTTCAGTGTTTTTTCACACCTTCAACTGGACTCGAAATAGAAAAACTGGTATAGGAAACACAATAAAAAATACTCTAAGGAGTTTATAGCTTTATTGCCTGCATAAAGAATGTCAGATTTCATAAAAAACGTTTTCATTTGGTAGTATCTATATTTCAAATGGGCTCAGAGCACCGATTATGTATCACCGTAATAGAACTGCGAATGTATAGAACCCTCTGTATTTCACTGCGACCATGGTAAATAATCTAAACAGAAACGCGGGCTAATGGCTAAGAAAATACTTACCCTTTCTCTGGGGTGCTGGCCAAAGAAATCTGGATGCACTGCAAAATAGAATGGCCTCAAAGCATTGACGGCTTCGGCTCCTGAGAAAGCTCTTGAGTAGGAAAACCAGTGTGGAAATACCTTCTCCAGACATAAGCTTTCAAAGAGATGTGAATTGATTAATTGTGAGGCCCCGATGTACAAGCAGATCCCCAGTGTACAAAGTGAGGGCAACATTAAAGTTACTCTGCACGGAAAACACCACAGAAACAAGATAGCAACCAAAACCCAAGACTTTGTGGTTTTCTGAAATCTACCAAGTTTTAACAAGTAGTGAGTGCCTTGTAGTTTCTAAAAACGGTGAGTATAAATTCCTTTGATACAATATGGGAATATTAATTAAGAATAATACAATTTCCCCTCAAAACCCCACTGAGAAATGTTAACTGGTTTTGCTGCAAATGATGATGATTTTCTGAATCATCTTTTTCTTCAGACGGGTTAAAAGAACCACCAATATCCAACAGTGTCATCTTTTTATAGTGAAAAATACTTTGAGAATTGTAAGTTTAGAAAAGAGATACAGATCTCTCTCCGTTCATTTTCTCATTGCTGGCATACTAATATTATTCTAATTGGATAACTTGACATTTCATTCCTAAAATTTGGCATAACTCATCTGAGAGTGTTTTTTTAAGTATTGTTTTAAATAAAATCATTTGTAATTTTAAAAATATTTTATTTACTTATTTTTAGAGCATTGGGAAAGCAAAAGAAAGAGAGGGAGAGAAATATCAATGTGTGGTTGCCTCTTGTGTGACCCTAGTTGGGGACCTGGCCTGCAACCCAGGCATGTGCCCTGACTGGGAATCGAACTGGTGACCCTTTGGTTCACAGGCCTGTGTTCAATCCACTGAGCTACACAAGCCAGGGCTAATTTGTAATTTTAAGCAAGCACTCCCCTGACATCTTTTTTTGCATGTTATATTTACCTTTTCCATTCTATAACAGACTACATAAAGGAGTTTTTAAATATTGGACACATTTTTATCTCATATGCTATGTATACTGAGTCCTTTGAAGAGCTTTCTATTTTTAAAATGGTAGGACTAGAGAATCATTTCTGCAGATTTTTTCCAACAATCTAAAGACCACCAACCTATTTTCAGATCGCCTTTGGTTTGGTTTGGTTTTGGATATATTTGATAAAGTCAACCAACACACAGGTTGAGCATTAAGGATTAGAATAGGAGTTTGGACAGTGAAGGAAACCATAAGCCCGGTGTAAAGACCCTCAGTGGGAGGCAGTGCAGGTGAATGTGAGTGACAACTCCATTCATTCCCCGTCTGAACTTCGACAGACACTCTGCTATCCGGCCAGCTGCTCAAATTTTATAAATCCTTTAAAAAAAGAAGTAGTGGTCATTATTTTCCTTCTACACTCAGCCTGGATATCGAAGGCGAGGAAGCTGTCAGACACTGCACCCCAGGATTATTTCTGTTACTGGGGTCCCACCTTCCCTGCGCTGCCAGAGCACAAAGCCTCAGACCTACTTGCGCCCGAGCTAGCTCACCCTCCCTGGCCTGTTTTCAGTTAGTCTTGTTTCTTCTCGCCTACAGCGTCCCCTGAAATCATTCCTTCTGCTTCCTGCTACCAAATATCCCCACATAACTGGACGCCATCACCTCATAATCAGTCTACTTTTCCCTAATGATGAATATAGATTAATGTTCCTAAAGTCCCACTATTACCGTATCCCCTACTAAAACACTACTATGGTCTCGCAATTCCTGCGGAATAAAATTCATTCCTCAGTCTAGTGCAGTAAGTCCTCTCTAATCGTTTCCAATCTACCCCTCAAAGTTGATCTCCAAACAGTCCTCACAGAAACCCTCAGCCCAGTGCCCGATGATCCTCGCCTCTTCCTTCAACTTGATGTCTGAGCTCTAATGCATCCTCCCTGCCCTTCACTTCCGTCCGTCCAAACCGTATACCCACTACGTGCCAGGAAGCAAGGTCCCCCAGAACCTTCCCTTTTAAATCCTCATTATAAATAGTCTTTCCCTCTTGCAAATTCAAACAAACAAACAAGCAAACAAAAACCCCCAAACTATTTGGAACATAATACTGTTACATGTAAATAATATATTTTCATTTGTTCTTCTTTCCTTCCACCTACCCACCCTCCACTATTTCTGTATTCTTAAAGGCAGTAAATCCGTTTAGGTATGTCGTCATTTGCTGTGTTAGTTTGCGTTTGCTGAAAGCAGAGGCCAAGACAGGATCGGATGTGCAAGACAATTATTGGGAAAGGAAGGCAAAGGTCAGAGAGCTTTCAGACCCTGATTCAGGTCTGGCACCTGCAGGAGGAGAGCGGGAAGCAGGGGGTGTGGAGCAGGGGGTCTGGGGCGGTGGTGCAGTGCCAGGAAGGGCTCAGCCGTGCCTGGGGGGGGGGGGCGCGGCGGTCCTTGAGCCAAAGTCACCCACTGGAGAGTCCTGTGTCTTGCTGGAATGATTCTGACTTAGGATTTATATTATATACACATGAATAGCAAATATAGCAGTCAAATGACCTTAGTATACACTTTAATTGCAAAGGGTGGTTTTCCAGATGTTAACAGAAGGCTCTTCATACAAATTTGCTTTTTTTGCTCTTGCCCTCCACCACGATATAACTTTAGAATTTGAAAAATGACAACAAATTAAAATTAGCCAAATGCATAACAGATTCTCTTCCCCCACCCAATACTAACTATAGATTGGACCATAAAGCTTACCTCCTTACAGGTCTCAGGTGGCAAAACATTTCTGAATATATGTGTACGTCAACTTCCAGGCATCATTGATTGCTAAAACATTAAGCAGATTATCAGTAATGAACAAGTTAAAAACATTACCACTTACATTAGCCCTTGCCCAAATGAAATACTTAGCTATAAGTCTAACAAAATATGTACAAGATCTATATGAGAAAAACCACAAAACTCTGATAGGAGGAGTCAAAAAGGAACTAAATGGAGAGAAAGTCCATGTTCATGGATAGAAGAATCAACATTGTCAAGAGGTTTGTTCTTTCCAACCTGCTCTGTGGATTCAATGAAGTTCCAATCAAAATCCCAGCAAGTCACATTCCAGGTACCGACAAACTCATTCTAAGGTTTGTGTGGAAAGCAAATGGCCAGACTGGCCAGCTCAGTGCTGGAGAAAAAGGGCTGTGGGGTCAACACCACCTGGCGCCAGGGTCACTGTAAAGCTACAGGGGTCCAGACAGCACGGGACTGGTGAAAGAATGGATACACCGAACTTCATTCAAATTAAAAACTTGTGCTCTCAGGAAGACACTGTAGAGAGAATGAGGGGGAAGGGCACAGACTGGAAGAGAAATATTCGCAGAAGACATGCATATCTGAAAGACTTAACAAATCAAAACCAGACTTAGTTAAGAGAGCACAGGTACAAGGCTCTGAGCTTGCAAAGAGACTGGAAGGACACACATACACGATCTCTAACTAGCTCTCTCTGGTTAGCTGGTGGTAGGATGCTAAGTGCTTTAATGTTTCCTTATTTCCTAGTTTATTAACAATGACCATGTGACATATGTTCTTAAACATTAAAAAACACACATGCTTTTAGCATACAAATTAAACAAAGCAAATGAACCTCACAAAAATGAGCGTCGTTCATTTGGTATGTAAGACAGGTCCCTGGACCAGGGACACCTGTTGGCCCAAAGAGAGTCCTGATATAGCTCAAGAACAGCTCTCCACACTCACACATAATGACAAGGACACTGACAAAGAGACCGGTAAGTGAGCTACAACTGTGGATAAGAAATGTATATAAGAATACTTGGGATGCACATGATCATCCAAGAATACGAGCAGGATGTAGATTAAATACCACGCAGCAAAGCTCCAACCAACATAAAATGATCCTAGAAGCAGCCTTGAAAAGCCAAAATTACTACACAATGCCAAGCACCCAGGCCTTGCAACAACACAACCTGTTTTAACTGTTTTTTTTTAAACAGTAGTATCTTAAAAGTGCATAATGTCAGAATGTCAGCATCTGATGAACAATGTAGGTGATCCAAATGACATGCTTTGTTTGTCATGTGCAAAAGCAAGCTAAATGAACCACTGAAAATAAAGTATTTTGAAATTTGAAAGTTAAAGCATAATAAAAAGATAGTAAGAATTTTGACACCAATTTAGGAAAGACTAGCTGCTTCAAATTTGATTCATCGAGAATTTCAGAGGCAGGCAGTCAAGCCCCTGTTCGGGAGTTCACACATTTGCACATTTAGAGTAGGAATCGATAGAAGCAGCGGCTGATTTAGCCATGAAAACAGCTTGAAGGGTTTGTTTAAAGAGTTCAGAATTAAGTCTTCAAAGAATTATAGCAAAATTGGAAAAACTGGAGAATGTATCCTTAGTGGCTTTCAAACATGGAATGGAGCACAGAGAGTTATTTAGCATGTTTTAGAAGTGTTTCCCTAAAAAATAATCAATGCAGAGCCCTGGCCAGGTGGCTCAGTTGGTTGGAGCCTGTACACCAAAAAGTTGTAGGTTCAATTCCTGGTCAGGGCACATCCCTATGTTGCGGGTTCAATCCCCAGTTGGGGACTATACAGGAGACAACTGATGTTTCTCTCACATCAATGTTTTTCTTTCTAAAATATCCTCAGATGAGAATTAAAAAAATAATAAAGCAGAAAAAAATGTTCCTGTACATAAAGTACTGGTCTTCAGTTGTCCTGAAAAATGATTCATTCACTGTTCCCTTTGTAATCGTAGGGTGTAACTGAACTACTACCGGGCAATGACTAACAAAGGACCTTAAAACTCGGAAATGGGACGGCAGGTTCTCACAATGAAAACAAAATGTTTTCAAATACAAGTATGAACATGAAATCAAAGTTTCTAGACTTAAAAAGCTTAACTCTTAATCACAGGTTAAGAGTTAGGCGTGTCCTGCCTGCTTTTTCTGTGAGTAGACTGTTTCTTAGAAAAGGTTCCCACTGCAGTAGCTTAGAATTATGACCTCGGCCTGTGCTGGATAATAGGGAGCCACTGGCTACATGTGGCTATTAAGCACCTGAAATGAGGTATCTGAAGTGTCCATTAGATTTTAAAGATTTAGTATAAAAAATGCAAAGCATTTCATCAATACTTGTTTATGTTGAGATAACACAGTAAAATTACCTTCACTTGTTTTTGCTTTTTTAAAAGCAAAACACGACCTGGTTTGAATTATTTCTTGCAATTTACTAACTAGAAATGTAAAATGACACCTGTGGCTCATGTTAACTTTCTCTTGGGCTGCGCTGCTCTAAGCCCAGGCAGGGCAGAGCCTCTGAAGTTAACACTCGCTATCAGAGGCGGCTGCCTGCTCGAGGGCTGGGGCTGGGGCAGAGGGCCTGAGATCTGCATTCAAATCCTGCCTGCAGCACTGAGTATCCGAGTGAACAAGGGCACGTTATTTCACCCTCCTGAGTCAACCAGTAAGTAACAGAGATGGTCCAAGATTGGCCTGTTCAGCTACAAAGAAGTTTCTTTGATGTGAATTAGATTAAGTGCAGTTGGTAAATCGGGAAAGATGTATCACATGCAGCTTTTTCCCAGCATGTTAATGATTTGGAGTAATCAGAGGTGGGCTTTCTACAATCATAAATGCTTTAGCTATATGGAAAGACTTAAGGAAAAACCTGAAAACCCCCCAGTAGCTCCTTTCTTTGGTTCAAGAAGCAGATGGTTAGTGGCTTCAGGAATCTCTACACTTCCCACATCAAGCAATCTGGGAAGCTGCTGATCCAGGTGAAAAAGCCAGAGATTTCCTCAGGTCTTGTTCTGAGTGGTATTTTTCCCCACAGACCCAGTTATTTCAGTGTATGTCCTGCAGCGTGTCCAGAGTTCCGAGAACCACAGTGAATGTCCTCTCAGTGGAAACACCTGTGTAACGTGCGTGTACTATCACTCCGAGCTGGCCTTCAGTTTGAAATTTACAAATTTTCATTACATGAGAGAATATACTCAGCTAACACAATGGGACAGTCTGCTGGGCAGGAATTTAGCCAGAAACTATCTTTGTTGTAGAACATGTTTGTACAGTTAGTGAATATTTTATGGAATTTTGTCTTTATTCAGTAGAAAAAGAAAAATTACAATCCTAACACTAGCAATAAGGACTAACAAGTTTAACATAAACGGAACAACAGTAAACATATGTATCATTGGCCCTTAGCTGATATTTCCTAGACTGAAGGCATCTTCACTGTGTGTTTAGGAAAAAATTGTAAAATGTTGAAAATATCCATTAAAGATTTTGTAAAAGGTGAAATGTAATCCAGAACATTATAATTATGTTTTAGCTCTCTGGATATGGAACTCCACATCTCCATGTACAACATAATTGTACATGTTTTTAGGAGTACATTACGTGTGAAAGTAGGGGATATAAGATTTTTGTGAAACTTAAATAATTATGTAGAACATCTGGCAAATAAAAATTCATAAAAGTGGCAAGTGTAATTAATATTATATAATTTCCTCCTAATAAAGGTTTACATGTTGCTAGAACATGCACTAAAATACATTTTTATTGGAAAATTCAGAATTATCAAAATAAAGGATCAATGCCCAAACGTCTTAAATACACTGTGAGGCTATGAAAAGTTTTGCTTGAATTAGTTCTTTGTTTCCTGTATGGTTTGCCCTCTTCTTGAGATAAAAAAAAAAAAATTAAGTGGAAGCGAGGGTAGAGCCCGCCTGGCTGGCAGGCCAAGCTGCTTGGCTCTTCCTGTGGCGCACATCTTGGGTCAGTCCTCATTTTTGCAAGACCAAGGTCCAATTTCATCACTTCTGCTGGAAACAAACAGGTCTTGGGAAAACAAAACTATAAGGGATCTGACTGCCAACTACAATGTCAACTCTTTAATTTACTATGAGAAGTTAATTGCTGAGAAGCCTAGGAGATTTGTATCTGCGGTTCTTTCCCTTGCAGGACTAGCCACACAGGAAATCAAAGACTGTCAGCACACTGAATATACACTGCTTCAGAGCAGAGCTGTGTGCGCTCATCTACTAGTGAGAAACAGCTGGAAAGCCTAGGCGCACCCAGGTCAACTGCAGGTTTCTTGTCTTCAGACAAGTTCTTACATGGGTGGTTCTTGCATGGACTCCATGGAGCCCACTATCCTTCCGTTGGGAAAAATCTCAAGCATGCTGCAAAATAACTAAAAAGCTTACGCTGTCTTATCAGACTTGGAAGGCACTCTGGGCCCCTAATTCACTCAATTCATCAACAGGCATTTACCAAGCACTTATGTGCCAGGTTCTGTGCAAAGTCTTGGGTACAAAAGAGCATTAAGACAATGCCACCTCTACAAAAACTGTATCATAGCCCTAGGAGAGAGGGGAGTGGAAAAACAGACACAAGCAGATAATTACAAAACAATGCAGTAATGAAATAACAGCAGTCTGCAGAGTATTATGGCAAACTCTCAAGTGCTACACCTGGAATTGGGGGCTGTGGAAGGTTTTTTCCAAGGAGATGGCGTCGTCCTCGGTGGCCAAGGGTGGAAGATGGGGAAGGACATGAGTCATTCAGAAAGCCATGCAAGCGTCCGCTATAATCCACTAATAGTGGTATTAGCTTCTATTTCATCAAAGGAAAAATTCTGATTTTAACCTAAATTCTGAGCTGTGATTTGAGGCATTAAATATTCTGTTCAAGTCAAATTTCGTAGAAAGAAATACCTAAGTTGGTGGGCAAGTCAAATTTGGGTGGTTTTAGGAAAACTTTGCTTAAATCGCTTTTGATACAGGAACAGCAACGTGTTTGTGAAAGAGGTCCTACCATGGGTCTTTGGCCATTTGGCACAACTTTTATTTGACAGTAATTTATTTTGACGAAGTTAATACCCCCAGGCTACTTTCATTTAAGCTGTGACTACCTTACTCAGTTTTTAAAAGCAGGTTTTTCCACCAAGGAGGGATAAAAGCAGACTTTTCATTGCTTTTCAGTTGAATGCTTCTTGGGAAAGAAGAAAAAGGGCAAAGAAAAAACAAAAGTGGTAAGTTAATAAACTGTGGTAAGAGCAAAGGATCTAGATTCCCAAGCTTCCTTTTCTAATCTTTTGCTATGAGATTAGAATTATCACAATTTCCTATGATAAGGCAAAGATTTCGGGTAAATAGTATAGTCGGAAACAATGAAGCCTAAATAAATCCTCTTTGGTTTCTCATTAGAAAACAAGTTAAAGCAGATGCGGTGCAGACTCTCCGGCCCCTAGCAATGCCTCAATTCGTGTTAGCACGTCGAGCTAAAGTGACTGCTCGGCCCACACCGACCCCCACCATCTGCCCCGAGTAGTCAGAAGGAACTGGAGCCCCTCCCCTCCTACTCCTTACAGTTCCGGCAAGGGTCCGCCGGGTGGGCTGTCTCCAAACTGTTTCACCTCCGACCCTTTTCACCTCCCACCCGGTACCAGGGGGCGGTGCGGGGGCGGTGCGGGGGCGGGCGCCGCCGGCCCGGGCGCATGCGCACTAGCACGCCGGCCCGGCTCTCTAGCGCGTGCTGGAGGGCCTGGCACTCCCACCCGCCCTCGCCCACTAGACCACAGCTCTGATAGGCTCCTACCCTCCGCAATCCCTGAGCCCCCGCCCTTAATATCTCAGCTGGGCGCGCCCTGCTCCACCCGGCCCAAGGCCTGCCGCTGCGCGTTCCTGGAGGTGAGAAGCAGCGAGGGACTAAGCTGCAGAACGCGCCCTCATTGGCTGAAGCTTGCCAGGCCTTCCAGCCAGGAGCGCCTGCGCGCAGCCGGAGACGTGGGTTCTTAGCCCAGCGGTACCCTGTCCCGCGCTGACGTCAGCGCCCAGGTGATGTCCCTGTCTTCCCCACCTCTTTCAGCACCCCCGCGCGTCTTCCTTCTTACCTGCCAGAGAGAGCCCCGCGCGCCCGCGGAGAGCTTAAGGACGCGCGAGCGAGCACTCCGAAATATGAAGGACCAGGCCGGAGGGAGTCGGATATGATTGGGCAGCAGGTGGCGGGGCCTGGCCCCCGGGTCGGTGGAGCAACTGAGCACGCGCTGGAAGGTGGGGGGGCAGGGCGCGCTGGAGGACGCGCGCATGCGTCCCCTCCCCCATAGTCCCCACCTTCCCAACCGCCAACCCCAGGCGCCCTAAGAGGGGGCGAGGCTGCCTCCGCAGATCCACCCGGGGAGCTTTCGGAGCTGACGGCTTGGGACTACTGTCAGTCCCAGATATAGCTAATTTAAAAAATTTTCTATTCTCCGGTTTGCATTTTCATTTCAGTTTGGTTCTTTCAGTATCTGGCTATTTTCAAACCTTAAGGACCCTGAACCGTCAGCTTGGCTTTTTCCTGTTAGCTGTATTTCGCTCCTATGACTTTGATTTCCCCCTGAAAGGGCCACAGATGAAATTAGGCAAATAACAATAACCCATCTTATTTCCTACCTTTTGGCATTGTTGACTGAAGGAAAGAAAAAAAAAGCCTCCATTTGTTCCAGCCCTAAGGGCTCTTATTAGAAATAATCTGGTCACTTGTGATTCTTTTTACACCCAATCTCATTTTTCTAAAAGCTTAATTTATCAACTCTCACGTCTTCATCCTTTCAAATGCTTCTTTGCTTCAGCATCTTAACAGTCTCATATTTAAATTCCTTTCTTTGGGTTTCAGTGACCTCTTATAGAAGAGACTAATTTATAATTGCCTGTTTACCACTCTTCGCTTGTCCTCAAAGACACTTCAAACTGATGGTAGTAATATCCAAACCTATTTTATTTCATTGGTGCCGCAATTAAATAGTGGCAGTTATAGTAGTCGCCCAGTTTGTTCTCGCTAGAGAACTCGCAGTCTTCGTTGACGTCTCCCATCTCGCTTCCAATACTTCATTCATATTACTATTTATTCATGCCGCATTTCGTCACGGCAGGCCATTATTTCTGAGTGCTAGGGTTTAACGGTTTTAGTTGTGTGAGGTTATAGATTTATCCCAAGGATGCTGCCATTACTATATTTTGGGAACTGCTTTAAGAAGAATTTTTCAGCTCCAGTAATCATGACTTGCTCTTTTATTACTCACCTTTTCAGACTTTTTCTCCGAAAGACTTTATGGTTTAAAGTATCAAATACAAAGTATCAAATTAAGGATTGAGGTGGTTAGGAAGGGACAGTCCTTGTTTAAAATTTTAAGTTCTGGTATATTAGTTTAAAATATTGTTTTCTTTAGTCATACTTAATGTATTTTCAAAATATGTGTAGTATTTTAAGATACACTAAAGGAAAACTACTCACAGGGTAATTTAAAATTTTTTGGTATGGGCTCTGGTCAGGTAGCTGAGTTGCTAGAGCATTGTCTAGATAACACCAAGGTTGTGGGTGTGGGTTCCATCCCGGGTCAGGGAACATACAAGAATCAACCAACAGCCCTGGCTGGTGTGGCTCAGTAGACTGAGCGCCAGCTTGCAAAATAAAGGGTTGCTGGTTGGAGTCCCAATCAGGGCACATGCCTGGGTTGCAGGCCAGGGGTCCAGGAGGGGTCACATGAGAGGAAACCACACATTGATGTTTCTCTCCCTCTCTTTCTCCCTTCCCCTCTCTAAAAATAAATAAAATCTTAAAAAAAAACCCAATCAACCAATGGATGTATCAGTAAGTGGAACAACAAGTTGAAGTTTCTCCCTCCCCCCACCTCTCCTCCTCTTCCTTCCTCTTTAAAATCAACCAATAAAAAAGTTTTGATGTAACTCGGAAAATACTCTGGAATATTAGTGTTTGAGTCACTTTTCAATATTACTTTACTATTGTATATTAGATTTAGAATAAGCTTTAGAAACTGGATTGAAGAAAAAGAAACTGGATTGAGTATATACTCAACCTACTTCATACCCCTGAAGGTTTTCCTGAATACTCCGGTTACCTGCCTGTGTATTTCCTCTTTTATGACTCCCTCTTATTAAATGCTGCACAACATCCAGTTTGTGATTTTTCAATGTTTGAATTTCAGAATAAACAGGGATTTGCCATACTTAGATTTACTTAAAAAGAAGTCAGAGTGATTTGAAAAATCACTTCACTGGGGGTAAAACCATTATATCTTGCATCCGTCAATCAAAATTTTTAGTGTTTGAAAACTAGTAATTTACTGTAAATAAAGGGCAAAGCTGACTATACTGAAAACCATCTTTATTTTTATTGCCTTTTATTTTCAACAATGATTACCTGAACTTAAAGTCCCTTAACTAATGGTTATTGAAAAGCCAAACCTTTCCAGCCCACTTCATGTTCTCTTTCAACCATTTCAGGGCAGAACAATATTCCAAACTGTACACCTGTTCCTTATTAACATTGACGGTCATGTGCTTAATGAAAAGCTTTGGATCTGATAAACGAGCAGCCATCATTAATCTTTCCACTGCAGCTTGATAATCGTCCTTGCTCCGAGATTTGTTTTCTTCACACCTACAAAGAAAAGACCGCACTAAAAAGTCAGAAACTCTAAAAAGAGGGGACTGATTTCTTCAAAAGATAATTACATTTGTTAGTACTAGTTATGACAAACTGTTTACTATATTCTTCTACCAGTGGCCTTCAAACTTTTTTGACCATGACACAGTAAACTATTTAGTATTGGGACCCAGTATGTACCCTCACACATAAAAACTGAAAAGTTTCAGAAAACGAGATGTACCCTATGACGATGTACTTTATTTTCCATTGTCTCATTTTTAGAAATGTGGTTGCAAGCCCCCTAAATTAATTTCACCACACAAATGGGCTATAACCCACAGTTTGGAAAACAGTGACAGAACATAGATAACAGCCTCAATTTTTGTATTTTCAAAGTTAATGATTGCATCATTTTATTATAATGCATAAAGACATACTGAATTTAATCAAGTTTGGGGTTACTTGATATTGGCTATTCTGAATTGTAAAAATATACTTACTGTGTAGGTAACATCTGGTAACAATTTGTAGCTTTATTCCTTTGCTATATTTTTTATTATTTTTCTTTGACTCTGACTTAAGGACTACACAAAGTGCTAGAATGTATTGTTTAATACCTTCTAATGGTCTGTACATTTTATAAAATTCACACCTAATGGCTGTTTTTCCTATGAGATAGGGAGTGGGAGGGCTTGAAATAGAGATGGGGCTGTTACATTAAGCATCACCCTTTCTTTTGTATTCAGTGCATCCTGCTCTTGGCATGTATAGGGTCCAGCAGCAAGGCCCAAGAATGGGCCCACCTGCATGAACAGCACAGTGTGGTCCATAGGGTGGTGGTAGCCAGGACTTCCACTTGGAATAGGAACCGGTGGTCACAGAGAGGAAAGATCAGTCAGGTGCCTTCTAGTACCTTCTGGCTTAGAAATTGGTGCCTAGAACCTGGTAGATTGGGTATGGGCCAACTATGTGCAATTTTTCAAACTGTAAGGATGAATAAAATTCTCTCTATAGAGGTTGTTATAACAAGATATTAGAATTTTTATTGAATGCTAGTAATTTGGTTTTCAGTCTCAGGTTACATTTGTTCTCGATTTAACTGCTACAAAAGTTTGCAAACGTGCACTACAGTATCATATAAATACTGTATACAACAATATTGTTATATAAACATATAAGCATATTTATACATATATAAACATAAATACTATATAAAACATTTACATCCTAGGGCAGGTGTAGGGAGGCATGACCGGCTTTCAGGAGGCAATTAGACATCGTCAACCAACCTTTTCAAAACGACCTGCAGCACCTGCGTGGGAGTGCCGGGACTCTGAATATTGCCAGCGTTCGATACCAGGAAGATTTCCATGGTTAAAAGCATTTCAATCTCAGATAAATAAGAAGGAATTCGTAGAAGTTTTCGATATAAATTTCCTTCTAATGGTGGATAGCAACCCAGTGAAAGAGCACCTGTAAATCAAATAATAGACCAAACTTTACTAAAACCCTAACAGGGGAAAACCTAGACTTCCAAAACATGTGTAAGTGATAATTACTTACAGTGCAGAATAATTCTTCACATTAGAAGCAGATTTATTAAATAAATTATATAGTAGCTTACCCTGGTACATTTAAAATTATTCTTTGTAAACTGTTTTTGGAACATTAAATATGAATTGAGAAATATGTTTAAACAACTATGAAAAATGACTTTGAGTCTCATCATGGCAACCACTTATTTGAAGTTATAGTCAATAGAACATAATATCAGAGTTACTGAAAAACCAGAATAGCTACTTGGATTTTGTTTTCATGGGCATAGCCTAATAGAAACTACATATATTTATAATTATAGCCTATCTTGAATCATGAACCTAAAGTGTAGAAATAAAATAGAAATTACAAGTAGAAGATTTTATTTTCTATCACATTTTTATAGTCTTTTTTATTTATTGGTTTTACAAAGAAAGAGAGAAACACTGATTTTGTTGTTTCATTTATGCATTCAGTGGTTGATTCTTGTATGTGCCCTGACTGCGGATTGAACCCACAACCTTGGCTTATTGGGATGACACTCTTACCAACTGAGCTATGTAACCAGGGTTCCTATTGTAGTACTTTTGAGTACCCTTATTTATAGTGCATTTATAGTAAAGTTTTTGGGGATCCAAAAGTTATCTATAGATTTTTAAAAATTTTGTGTGTGGGGTTGGCACCTCTAACCCCCAAGTTGTTTAAGGACCAACTGTAGTCAATGCAATAAATATTTACTGACATTGAACTAAACACTAGATATAAAAATGAATAAAATATATTTTTATCCTGCTCTGGCTGGTGTAGCTCAGTGGATTGAGCACGGGCCTGCGAACCACATGATCGCGGTTCGATTCCCAGTCAGGGCACATGCCTGGGTTGCAGGCCAGTTCTCAGCAGGGGACTCACCAGAGGCAACCATACATTGATATTTCTCTCCTTCCCTTCCTCTCTATAAATAAATAAGTAAATAAATAAATAAATAAATATCTTTAAAAACAGAATTTGTTTAAAAAAAATATATTTTTATCCTGCTGGTGCTCAGTGTGTTATAACAATCCTCACCAACTCAGGTTCCATA